TAGGAAATGATTCCATTTGTAAACTTGCCTTCATCCCCTCTGCTGGCCAAAGGCCAAGGGAATGCGTATCTTTGCCTTGATTCCAGGGTCAGCTATTTCAATGCACCCTGAAAACGCTGCTTTTGACTCCCTCACCACGTGGCCTTGTGCTCTGCCTGGTCTATTAGTCCCTAAGCCTAATATACCTTTATGCTAGATTTTTCTCTACTCCCGCTTTCTATTTGACAAGGTTGCCAGGGAAAGTCACAGGCTTGTGCTGATATGGACCCCTATAAAAATGCATGCACTCTGCCTCCTGCTGCATTCTCTCCACTGCTCTAAAACCTTTTGTTCATGTCTCTGGATTTGCTAACACTCTCAAACAGTGTCTACTCCCTCCTTCTCACCTTATTCAAGTGACCGAGTTCTTTATATCAACTCCATTTTCATCAGATTCAATGCTGTAATTCAGGCAAAACAGTTGGCATAGTGCCGGTACATAGAAGGTTCTAAATAAATTCCACTATTACTGTTCATATAGAATGCACAGCAAAGTGTCTTGGTTAAAACACTCAGACTTTGGAATCAGACAAGTGTAAGTTTGCAGCCTGAGTCTTCCATTTACTAGCTAATGGGCAAGTTGCCAAATCTTTCAGTGTCAATGTTCTCGTCTTTACAGTATAGATAATGATACTACCTCATAGGGCTTTCACGAGAGTTACGTGAAAGTTACATGTAAAGCTATGAGGAATGTCTGTCACATTATGAGCATTCAGTGTTAACTGCCACGATTATTGTCATGATTAGTATGATTTTACTTACTGTTTTTTAAAAGAAAATCATCTCCACTGTGGCCACAATTTTTAGTGTCCTTTCCTCAATATATTTCCATTTTCTACCCACCCAAAATATTTGAGTTCCCTACTATGTGCTGCCACTGTTTTAGGTGCTGGGGAGACTGTCAATTGGGGGAAGAAGGTCAGTTTCTCCATCCCCGCCTTGTTTTCTTGTCCTTCTTACTGGGGAATGTTTCTTGCAAACTTTCTGCCTCCTTCTAACATCTTAAATAGCTTCACTAGCTCCTCCTTTGCTTTCAAGTGGTTTTGGGTTTTGTCACATATTTCTGTTTGAATTCTAACTAGTTAAAATTGCATTTTGCTCCTTTTGGTTTCCCAACCTCCTTCTTCAATACATGCTGGCTCACCTCCATTCTCTCAGGCAACAGTACCTTGCAACTCCTTGTAATCTTATAGCCACCCTCACCGCTTACTGAAATTACTTATGTAGTAGTTTCCAGCGAACATCTTGACACATCCAAAGAAAGTCAATCCTCATTTTCCTTGTCCTATTTTTAGCACCAGATACTGCCAACCCTCATTATTTCTTTGCTTTAAATATTCGCTCACTGCAAACAATTTCAACTGCAAGAAATACATGGAATAATGTAACCAATATATGTACCCATCACCCAGTCCTGTCAAATCTTGCAACATCAACTTTCAGTTTGGGTTTAAAGAAATAAAGAAATACTGGCCCTCCCTGATGGCGCAGCGGGTTAAAGCACTGCACTGAGAAGCTAAAGCCACTTCCGCATGAGTTCGATTCCCGCCTGCCCCGGAGGTGACCACATGGCGCGGCAGACCTCTCCTGACCCGCCCGCTGCTCGCCTCAGCAGTGTACTTCATAGATCTGCCTGTTCTGCTCCCCACTCTGTCTCCGGTGAAGCCTCTCACCGCCCCTGAGCCTCTGGCTTGTACCCCAGTCCTGTATGTACAAATAAATAAATCTTTAAAAAAAAAAAAAGAAAAAGAAATAAAGAAATACTAATAGAGTTGCTATCCCTTGCATGCTTGTTCCAGTCTTAATGATTTCCCTGCCTTGAATTTGGTGATGACCATGCCCTTTCATGTTTATATTTTCTAAAAGATTTATTTATTTATTTATATAGAACTGGGGTACAGGCCAGAGATGCGGAGGGTGAGAGGATTCACCAGGGACAGAGTTAGGAGCAGAACAGGCAGATTGACGAAGTACACTGCTGAGGGGAGCAGCGGGCGGGTCAGGAAAGGTCTGCCACGCCATGTGGATCTCCTCCGGGGCAGGCAGGGATCGAACTCATGCGGAAGTGGCTTAAGTTTCTTAGTGCAGTGCTTTAATCCACTGCGCCACCAGGGAGGGCCCTCATGTTTATATATTTTAAAATATTATATCATATTTATACGTTGCATGTTATCTGTTCTAGCTATGTAGCAATAAGCAGCAGCTAATACTTGCTGGTTTTATATAAATAGTCCACTGTACATATTTTGCAATGTGTTATTTATACTCAATAGCATGTTGTTGAGATTTATGTTAATACATATAGCTCTTTATTCACCTTAATTTTCAAAATAGTATAAAATTCCATGAATATCATGATTTATTTATCTATTCACTTGCTGATGGACTTTTACTTTTGGTCCGTTTTGGGGGGATTACAAATAATGCTGCAATGAACATTCTTTTACACGTCTTCTTGCGTACAAAGATTAGAGTTTGCAAAGTGTATAGTTAGCTTTGGAATTTTCTGGGTTGAAGGGCAATACATATTCAACTAGAAAATGTAAAATTGCTCTTCACAGCAGTTCTACAGTTTACACTCCTAGCAGTGGATCAGCCTTTTTTTCTGTTTTACATCTTCGAATCTTAATGTTGTTTGAATTTTTTAATATTTATGAACTAATATCTCATGGTTTTCAGTTTCAGTTTCCTTGAAGAGTAATGAAATGAAGCATCCTTTCATGTCTTTATTGGTCATTTGTTTTTCCCTGACTATGAATTGTTTGTTCATATGTTTTGCCAATTGTTCTACTAGGTTTTCTTTCTTTTCCTTGAGTTCTTATACATTCCAGAAACTATTTTATTCATTCAAGCAATATTTTCTAGCACCTACTTTGTCCTGGAATAATTCTAGGCACTAGAGGTGGAGCTATGAACAAAACAGACAAAACTCCCTGCCTTGTGGAACTTATATTCTAGTGAGGGAAGGTTAAACCCATAAGCAAGATTGATAAAGTAAAATTGAATAATGGATATTGATAAATCCTATGGAGAAAAACAAGCAGAGAAGAGGGATAGGAAGCATGTGTACGGTTGGAGGAATAGAGATTGTTGAACTGCAATTTTAATTTTTTAATAAGATTTATTTACTTATGCACACAAGAACTGGGTACAGCCAGAGGTGCAGGGGATGAGAGGATTCACCAGAGACAGAGTGGGAGGCAGAACAGGCAGCTCTACTGAAATATACTGCTGAGGGGAGCAGGGGATGAGATGAGAGAGTCCCCTGTGCCATGTGGGTCACCTCCCTGACTAGGGATCAAACTTGGCGCTGCAGTAGCTGTGGAGAGCTTCTCAGTGCTGCACTTTAATACCTTTCGTCACCAGGAAGGCTCCTGCACTACAATTTTAAATAAAGTCTAAAGAAGGTCTCACTGAGAAAGTGACAATTGAGCAAAAACCCGAAAGAGATGAAATTGCAGGCAAAATGAACTGCAGGTGCAAAGACCCTGTGGTAAGAGTTTGTCTAGTAAATTCTAAGAATGGCAAGGAATAGTGTGACTAGGTTGAGTTAGGGCGATGGGAGAAATCAGAAAGGCGATAACAGCTGAAAGTATAGAATCTCCTAGATTATCCTTTTGTAAGTTATACACATGAAAACCTCTTCTCCCAGCCTGTGCCTTATCTTTTAGCGTAAGCCATATTGAAGTACATGTATTTTTGACATTTAATATCATTAAATGTGTCAGTCAATTCCTTTGTTGTTTTTCAAAGTCTTTATTGCCAGGTCATAGAGATATTCTACTATTCTGGAAGTTGTAAAGTCTTGCTTTTCACATTTACACATTTAATCTATCTGTAACTTATTTTCCCTCTATGTTGTGAGGAAGGGCTCTCATTTTATAATTTTTCATCTGGACGATCATTGATGCCAGCACCCTCAGTGGCTAACCCATTCTCTCCCCACTGATTTGAAATGTCACACATGTTGAATTTAAACTGTTCATGTATGCTTATGTCTATTTTTGAGCTCTGTATTCTATTCCATTGGTCTACCTCTAAGGGAATATACCTCACGAGCTTAATTACTATAGGTTTAATATATATTGCATATATGTACATGCATATAGTGGATAGTTAGTCCATTTTTGAATAATGGATACCACATTATTCAAATATAGAAAATGAATGCCACAATGAAAACATTACTCTGTGAAGAATATTCTTATGACTGTCAACAGGAAATAATGGCTAAAGGAGAGATCACAAGTACTTACAATAAACTGATGACAGTGCAAATGGGGAGAAAGCAAAGAATCTAAAAGTAATCCCAAAGAAAATATTCACAAGATTTGCTGACTTATTGGATACAGAGATAATAAGAAAGGCAGGCGGGGGAGACATATGACATAGAACTTTCAAGTCTTAGTGGCTTATGAAATGAGTAAGTTGGAGTGAAATGAGTGAGTTTTGTTTTGTGTCTCAAGTCTTGTATTGACAATGGGGCCCGGGTCATGAATCTACATTTGGTCTTTACTGTATAGAGGTGACCTGGAGATCAAAGGTCTGAGATTTGGAGGGGTTTTCGGAGTTAGGGGTTGGAAGAAAGAGGGAGAAGGGAGTACATCCGAGGGGTAGTCTACCCAGCACGGTGCAGCGGCGCGTTGAGACTGTAAGAAGTGTTTTTAGGACGGTGTGGGTCCTACTGATTCAACACTGCTGAGTTCCGCCAGGACTGTGTTTTGTTTCTGTGGCAACCTTCAAAGCCCGCAGAACAATTCTGGTGCCACAGGCAGCATGTAAAGCATATTCTTGGCTGGACGTGGTGGAGGCACTTGCAGTCCGTCGGGCCCCTAGTTGTACTTCGGCAGGTTGGCCGCAGAGGGCGGAATCTGCGGCGGCCTGGAAAACTGGTGGGGGCGCGAGGCGCCGCTCTCTCTCGGGTCAGGCTCTCGGCTCCCGGCTCCCGGTTCCCGGCGCCTGGCGCGGAGCCGTTTCGCGATCGACTCGCCGCCGAGGCCGGTGGGTGGGTGTTGGGACGCGGGAGACCGTGTCGTCGGATCCACCCGCAGTCCACAGCCCCGCCGAGCCCGGAGGCCGCCCGGATGGAGCCGCCGCTCCCGGTCGGAGCCCAGCCCCTGGCCGTATCCGCCTCAGAAAAGGGGGAGGGGGCGACGCAGAGCCGGGGGTGGCGGTCGCGGTGCTGCGGAACGCCGCGGTGGGGGAGGGGGGCGGGCGGCCAGCCCTGGAGGCCGAGCTGAGCGGGGGAGGGGGCCTGGCGCGGGGGTGATGTCCTGGCCCCCGGGAGGACGGCGGAGCGAGGGGTGGGCGCCCCCCTCCAGCCAGCCCGCCGCCCCCCAGGCTGGCCGCGCTTGCAGAGGAGACCCTTGACTTATGCCCGCATACTATCGAGGGGATGGAGATGAAGGGTCCTAGCCGGGAGCCCTGCGCCCTGACCTTAGCCCAAAGGAACGGGCAATATGAGTAAGTAACCACCTGATTCCCACAGTGGAGGGGAGCCTACCATTACCTCCCAACCCCAAACCGCGACGAGCACCCACTCTCCCACCGAGGCCGCGAGGGCAACAGGTTCAGGGCCAAGTGCGAAGTGCGATTGCGAGTGCGATTGCGAGTGCGAGTGCTCTCTAACCCCAGGGTTGTGCCCTAACTTCCAAGCTCTCAGCTTGGCCGGGCCGTGTCCCTGAGTGGAAGGACTGAATGGGTGGGGAAGCAGGAAGCCTGGGTTCTTAGTTCCTGCCCTTGCAACTGAGTGAATTGTGTAACCATCGGGCAAGTCAATGAAGCTCTCTGGGCCTTAGCGTCCTCATCAGTTAAATAAAAACATTAATTGCCTTACCTTATGGCCTTTGGAGTTGTGACTGGGAGAATAATAAATGTGAAAGTGGTTTACAAAAAGTAAAAGTGTTACAGCAACTCTTCTTTGTTAACCTTACCAAAGTGCCTTTTCTTAACCCCATTCAACTGGTTCCTCCAGTCTCCCCACCCCTTTATTCCACTTGCTTGAAGGCATATTCGTTAGTTAAGTAATGGTTTGGTGTAGGCCAGTAACTGCCTCACCTATTGACTTGACTGTTACAAAAAGTAATGAAATATCTAGAAATGTAAAGGCGTTTGGCATTTTACCAGTTCCTGTTACCTTCCACTCCACCCTGCACAGACCTCATTAAATACTGTTTGCTGCTTGATCAAAAGATTATTTTGATAAACTATCACTATAACTGCACATCTCACTCTCTTGCCATGAAAACCTCCTCCTAAAAGTATCCATGGCGACCACTGCCTATCTTACCCCCTACCATGTGTGCCCAGGCCACTTCCTCTTGGTTCTCTGGCTTCTTGACTTCAGAGTTTGAAAGATGTTGACCTCGTCAGTTCTGCCATCTCCCAACATTGAATTCTGCCTAAAAACAATTTTTCCCAGTCCCTGCATTTAGATTGTTCGACTCACTCTGTGTCTAAGCTGTCCAATTTATGCAGCAGAAATTCCCACTGGCCTCACTTGGCCCCTTTTCTAAAGGCAATCTTCATGCCACTCTAAATGGACATCACATAGTTTTATAAAGTAGCTCTTTACTAGGTCCTCCTTGGCCAGTTCTGTCCCTAGGAGTAATTCATGCTGTTTTACCCACATTTTGGAAGACCAGTTTGAAAAATATTTTCAACAGAAAAATTAATTGAAAAGTGCATTGCCACTGCCACTGCCTTATAAGGCGGGGATGGGGTGGAGAGATGTGAGCCTTGGGTAAATCAGTGCCCTATAAACACAAGATTATGATTAAGTAATAGAGCTACACTGTTGAACTGACCAAACACTTCCCTTGGTTAGGTGAATTTAGAACTCTATTCAGGTAATAAAGGAGTGAACTTCTGGTCCTGAGAGAAGAGCCTGGTTGTATCTGGGCTATTACTGTATTAGAAGAACTTTTAAACATGCAGGGGTAGCTCTCCTGACTGTGTGCTCCCCACAGAAAAGTCACATTCTCGTGCTCTGATTCTGCTTAAGTTATGGGGGTTTAAGTAACAGCTTGGTCTCACCTAGTGACTTGATAACGTCCAGGTCCTGTTGTCAGCTCTTCTCATGAGTTATTTCATTTAACCCTCATGTGAGAGTTGCTATTAAATAGTAAAATCATCATCACCCCCTTTTCTAGATACACAGATTGCACAGAGAGGTTGTCAGTCATTCACAGTTAGGCAGTATTGTAGGTGAGATTTGAACCCAGGTGACACCTCAGAATTACATTCTCGAAGAAGCTGCTTCTCCGACATCATTTATTAAAGACAACTAATAACTGTAATACCACCTATAATCCTCAACTTCCTGTCTCTCGAGTGCATTCTCTGACTTGGGTGTCCAGAACATTTTTACTTTTGGCCTTTTAATCCTACAACTTGAAGCCTAGTTAATCTTTACTTCTGTAATTCCTATTATCTGCCATAGGAGGCATTTCCTTGAGACACCTAAATCACAATTAGAAATGACCTTTTTGAAGTGGCATCAAACACTAAGATTCATTTTTTTCAGGGATAACAGATTATGCCGGTTTCATCTTGAACCTTAAACAAATTAAGTATTTCCTAGGGACAGTGCTGAGTTTGCATTCACAGTTTGTCATTGCTGTTGGACAACTCAAATTTCACTATCCGTTGTTTGGTCATATACTATTATTTGTCACCTTTTAGTTCTGAAATGAGTGGTTGGTTACATTTAGGTAGAATTTTATGCTTGTTCTTAGCCCTACCGAGTAATGCATTAGATAATCAATAAATATTTGTGGAATGACTTGAATTCCCAGTTTGTGTGTTATGTGCTGAATTTTAACAGTACAGTCCACTTAAAACTATACTGCTAATGTTCAGCACCATTTCTAGTCTTACATAGCTTTGAAATTATTTTGGCTTGTGTCCATTTTACTCCAAGTCAGCTTTTCCTCTTTCACCCTTGCTTAGTCAGCCTTTTGTCTAGTCTGGCTCTATTCATGAACTTTGCAGATTTGCTCCATATTCCTCTAATCACCTTAAAATATAAGCCCATGCAAATTAGGCAAGATCAGAACAGAAAGACAACATTCATACTTTCCTTTAGTCTATTGAAAAGTTATTACATTTGGGCCGGAAGAGGAGGGGGAATTGAAAAAAGCTAAAACATTGCTCCCCAAAGGCAACAAAAATAAATATCAAACCCTTCAAAACAATGGCATTTTAATACCAGATGTTGCACACTTATATTTAGAAATTCATTTTTATAGGTTTCATTTAGCCATTTCATTTATGCAACCAATATTTACTGAGCATCTAGTAAGAAACAAAATTAAATATGATAGAGGCCTTTGAAAGAAGCAGTGAAGCAAGTAAATACTGTTGACCCTCGCACACTGGGTTTGAAGTGGGGGGGGAGGGTCAATTTATACCCAACCAATTTTTTTATTTAATCCCAGCATTCCACATTCATGTATTCAACCAACATCGCTTGCTGTTGGTGGAAGCTCAGAATGCGGAACCTGTGGTTTATATGGCCAGCTGACTATATGGTATACTGAAGTTTTGCAACTCCTGGAGAGTAGACAGCCCTAAGCCCTGCATTGCTCAAGGGCCAGCTGAATAAATCTGATGGAGTGTATAAGTGGAGTATACACCTAATCTATTAGAGGGACAAGCTCTATCAGAGGCCATTTAGATAAGGGTTTACCAGGGTAGCATTTGAATAAGGGGTTACAGAGATATTTGAACTGGGTCTCAGAAAGAAGGGCCTGAAGAGTGTGGGAAGCTAGTGAGACCTTAAGAATGGCCATTTACCAGTAGGTTTCACCTTGATTCTGGGCCACTGGAGAAGTAGTACATGAAAGTATTTCAAGAGTTACACAAGTGAATTGCTGGTGGGAAGTCCACGGGGATTAACCAAAATTAAAAAATGCAAAAAAAAAAATTCAGGAGTACATAGAGATTTAAGAGTCTTAATTTTATACTGAGAGGCCAAATTCAACCATGTTTATATAGAAATATTTTCATGAAGTTGAAAACTTGAATAAAACCACAAGGAATTGTGGTATCTGTTACCTTGTTAATCACTGGAGTTATTTTGACCAATACTGGGCATCTCTTACTTATCTGTGACTCTGTACACTTGTTTGAAGAGATAGAACCATTCTTTTGGTAAAAGCCATGGGAATACAAGCAGAAAACTAATTTAGCAATTCTCTAATTCATTTATTCTACAGACAAGTGACTGCTATGTGCCAGGCACTGTGTGAGATGATAGAACTACTAGGCTGGGGGAAAAAAATCATAGTCCCTGCGTTTATGGACTTCATACCTAGCTATTAATTCTTCATTCTGGTATAGGTACTCTGAGCATGTATATGCAATTCGTGCAGTTAAGATTGTAAACTCTTTTTAGGTCATAGACTGTTACATGTTCTTTGTAGCATAGAACAGTGCAGTATTCAGATGTCAATCAGCACAGCAATACTGTAGACCTAAAGCAATATCTAGCAGTCATGATGCTTAGATCGAGAGACCTAGATAAAGCAAATCTAATCAATACAGACTAGATTTGTGTGACAACATGGCAATGTGATTTGTTGCTAAATGTTTGAGTTTTTCAATAGCTATTCGTTGATCCATTCTTCTGTTTCCTAGGTTAATAATCCAGTTGCACAAGAAGGAACAGCATGTTCAAGATATCATTCCTATAAATAGCCACTTTAGATGTGTTCAAGGTACTAGCTTTAATTGCTGAATTAGTTTATCATGTTTTTCTTTGGTTAGTATTGTATTGTGTACTTCCATGTATAATTAAATTTGTCACTATACATTAAATGTATTACTCTTTGGATCAAAAGATAATCTCATTAATTTATCATTGAGACTATAAATGCGGTGTCGACATGTGTTTATATATATATAATAAGAAGTGTGGGGGTGGGTGGGTGGGTGTGGGTGTACACTCCTGACCCCACCTGCTTTCCTGGCTGGTGTTACAGATGTCTGTGGTCTGCTGGATATATACGTAGTCTTTTATACTGATAGACCTATATGTCAGCATTTAGAGGACATTCTTGGGCTTAACTGTTATACTATTTCATTGTAAAATATCAAATCCGCTTGGATTCATTTACATTCAGCCCTTTCTCTTTATACTACTTAAAATGAAAATATTTGGCAACTTGCCTTGCCAGATTGTAATACCTTACACTTAATTGTGCTGATTCTCAAACCTTGACATTGGTGAATCATGAGAAAATTGACTCCAGGAGGAGATATTTGGCTTCCTGCCCTCAAATTTGGGGACTGCGAACAGAAAATCTGTTGTTTCATCTGCTACAATGAGAGTCAAAAATTGGGACGCTTGTGTAGGAGGTGTTGCTTCTATCATCTCACATTGCTCTAGAAAGGAAATTGATTAATTACTGGAGAACAAATGCATTATGTTTCCATTGACTTAACCAGACAGAAGCATTCTTTATCAACTATGGCTTCTTGGAAAACTTCAACTCTACCATGTGTGGGTTCTTTATTAATCTGTGTTGAACTTTTTTGATTACAAAAGGACAGAAAAGTATGTTTTAAAAAATAAATTCCACCCTGCAGAGATGAACACCTAACATTTCCCAACTTTTAGTGCTGCTGGGACTCATACTGTTATGTACAGTTTGTCTGTTCCACATGTCATCCTATTTCAAGTGCTTTTTCATGGCTGTGTACTGTTGCATTTCATGAATAGCCTGTTATATAATTGTTCCCTATATTGGCCACTTGGCCAGTTATTTTTCATTGGTGTAAATAGTAATGCAATGGACATCTCTTTCTGCACCTCTTATTTCCTTAGGACTTATCACTATAAGTAGAAATAATAAGGGGGGATGCCTTTTAAAGCCATACATATTAAGAATTAAAAATACCCACAATGAGTAGTATCCACCTTATACAGAAGAATGAAGTCCTAACTGTGTAGTCTGCCCTAAAGTCAGAATAGTCACCTGCATGCTGGCTCAGCTGCTTCAGTCACTTCACTTTTCATGGTGAGCCTTTGTTAAATACCCAGCCCTTGGAGGAGGAAGAAAAACCCAAAAAGCATGACGTTAGTGTCTTATCATGTTCTGTATCTTTCTATACTACCACTAGATGCTCTTGTCCCATTTCTTGCATTATTTTATAAGAAATTGGAATCTTGGAAGACACATGTGTGCATACACAGTCCTTCCCATGACAAAAGGAATAGTTTCCTCCTCAAGTTTGTACGTCCTTTCTGTTTCCTGACCTCTGCATCTGTTCTGAAACATCTAAAAATGTTTCATGTTAAAGAACTAAAGTTACTGAAGAACAGTGGTGAATACCTCATACCTGTGTTCCAATGACCTATTTTTCCTCGCTTCCTCATGCTAGTAATAGTGTTGAGACGTTTTCCTAATCTGAGGCAACTTAATTCCTTGCCAGTTGTCTCTACATACCTGAATAATGGAGGCAAATATACAATCCAGGTTTCTGAAGGTGCTAGAAAAAGCTGAGATTACTCTGTCTAGCCAAGGTAGATTCAGGCTAATCCCAGATTCGGTACCCAGAATTCAAGTAACCAGGGAGATCTGGTAGAGGCTATTGACCAAATCCAAGGAAATTGGAGAAGAAGAAATTGGTTGGTTCTAGCCACTAGAGGTCAGAAGGTCCTGGAGAGCTGTTGAGAGAACAGCTGGACTTGGAGACTGCTTTGCCCTGTGTTTATACTTACTCTTTGGCTGTGGCAGGCCTTAGACCCACAACTACTAATTGTAGCCTAAATGCAAAGAAGTCCAGGTGTATTATGTTCCCATACAGGACAGGGGCAGGCGTAATGAGTACACTGGGAGTTATTTGAGACTTAGATCTCAGTTAAAGTAATTCACCTCCAGGCCTTTACTGTCACCCTTAGCTTTTTATATCTAGATGATACAGTTGTATTATATTAATTCAGTATGTTACAGTAAAAGGGAATTAAACTTACCTTCACTTGAATTAACATGTTATATTCCCTACTATTAATTTGTCATTTATTGAATTGCTTTGAGATACATTTTCTCAGTGGAATTGCTCATGATCTTTAGAACCTAGTGCCAGTAAAATCCTTTTAAAAAAAAAAAAAGCAAAGGATTTTTAAAAGTGTGTTCTAAGGCCTAGGGGGTGTGTTGACTGAGAAGCAGTTGTTTAGTTAGGCAGTTGTAATGAATGGTATTCTCTTTCCTGATTCTGTTCTTTATCCTTTTCCTTCAGAAGCTGAAGAAACTCTTTTGATTGACATAGCCTCAAACAGTGAGTATCTTTCTGAATAGAGTGAATTTCCATGCAGCAAACTTTTACTGTATTTAAGACACCATAGACACCGTTTTTTGGTCCATCTTTTATCATCATCTCCTATATTCTCTATTGTCTTGATGAAGAATTAGCATTCATTGGAAATACAACTTAGCATTGCCTCATAACACATTTAGGGTAAGCATAAGAAAGAACAAGTGGCTGGCAAGAATCTTTAGAAGTTGAAAATATGTTTTTCTAACCCTGAATTTCTTTGAACTCCCAGTATTATCACTGCCATTTAAACTATTGTTGTGGAACTGATCGCTGTAGGAATGAAATGTTTAAAGGACATAAAGTTCATGAGTGGGTTTTTGCTTTTTTTTTTTTTTTTGACAACTGTTGGGTTTTAAGCTTTTTCTCCTTTACCCACTTTATATTTTTGTATCTTAAATCATAATGTTTCCCTTTATTTGTTACTATTTTGGGTGGCTATAGACTCCTCCTTATACCATGGATACCTGCCTTATAGCAGACATAACACTTCTTCCATAAAATAATTTTGATCATTTGTTTACACTCTTCCCCCTGGAGGCATCCATTTATCAGAGGGAGAGTGGACTTCTCACTGTTTCTGTTCTCTCCTTTTAATGTTTGAATCAAATCATCATTGCCTTTCTATGCAAGCTGTTCTTTGTTATCACCTAATTATACTTTGTTATGGGGAGGAGAAAATGGGCATTTGACTGCTATGTGACTACTCTGTGGTTGCTATGGAAAAGAGGATGTGACCGCATAAATCTAATCTCTTGGTTGAGTCCTTGGATAAGTAGGATTTGGCCCTTAGCTTGGGGCGTCTGGTTATACATGATTTTGTTTCGACACAGTGCCTGTCCTTGGCCCCATTACTTCTTCCTGAACAATTTAGGCAGGCTTTTTCTGGTTTGGGTTTTATTATTATTTTCTTCAGTTACGGATTTTTGAAGTCTTGAAGACTGATCCAGCAAGGCCGAGTAAACAAAGTTGTGAGTTTCTCCTGACAGGTATCTAAGAGAGCAAGTAATGTCTGTGTCTCATTGTGCTCAGAAAGAAGGCAGAAACAACACTAAAAAAAAAAACAAATTTCAGCAATGATAGTTCAGTAGGGACTGACATTGCTGTTGAAGATACTAAGAATCTTAAGAGAATCAGAGGGGTTTGATAAGAGGAATCTTCTTGTATGAAAAGGGAAAGGAGGGCCCTCCCTGGTGGCACAAGGGGTTAAGATGCAGCATTATGAAGCTCCGCAGCCACTGCAACACGAGTTCGATCCCCGGCCAGGGAGCTGACCTCTTCTGATGGCCCACGGCTCCCCTCAGCAATGCATTTCAGTAGATCTGCCTGTTCTACTCTGTTTCTGATGAATCTTTTCACACCCCCACCCCCGCACCTCTGGCCTATACTCCAGTTCTTGTATACATAAATTAAATCTAAAAAGAGGGAAAAGAGATGAGTACAAATACAGGTAGATTTCCATGTAATGGCCTCCATTTTCTCTGAAGTATGAGGTGAAGCAATCTGTTTGGAAGGAGAGTACTTGAGAAGAAGGAAATCCAAAGACTGAGGATAATTGAGAAAGTGTAAAATCACTGTTCCAGAGAGTAGGAGACTAGTTGACTATAGAAACTTAGATTGCTTCCCTTTGTAGTTCTCTGCTTACTCAAGTATAGATACAGAACAGGCAAGTAGTTGGTTTCCCAAGGGTTGGACATTAACTGGGTAGTGCCAAAGAGAAACAAAGAGGTAAAGCAGTTCTGGGCTTTTGCAAGTATAATGGTGGCATGTGTTTAATAAAAAGGAAAGTGAAAGCAGGAGGGGTTAATGGATACTGAGAAAGTGGGTGCATCTGTGGGCTTGAAGTTTCCCACGCGAGCAAGTAAGCTGGAGGGACTAACACAGGGCGGGATGTTTAAGTTCTGTATAAATTGGTACTGCTTCTATGACGAAAAGGGCCAGGTGGTGTAACTGAGGAGTCCCAGTATAGACTGAGGGAGAAGGTGGCTGAGGTGTAGGGGAAAGGTCATTGGATGAAGAAATAGGAGGTGCTGACTAGGTTTTCTGTGCTAATTTGAAGAGACCCAAAGTTATTAACACAGGCATTGGAAAGGAGAGGAAGTCTTATGAGTTAGGTATTAAGTACTGGACTCAGAAGATTCTGGGAGTATGACACGTGATCTTGCAGAAAAAGGAAGGGAAGAAAATGGATGCATGTCAAAGGAGAAAGGACTGCTTCCTGAGGGAGAAGGAATGGTCTGGCATTAGGACAGGTAAGGTCACCATCTTCGATTACCCAGGTGTGCAGGACATGAGAAGCAGCTCCACTGGAGAGAGCTGCACGTTTTGCTGCTGCCAGGAAGCAGCCTGTTTGCAGATGACTGATTTTCAGTCTGTATGTACATTAGAATGACCTGGGAGTGTTTAAACACCACCAGTGCCTGGACTTTACCCCCAGAGATTCTGTTTTATTGGCCTGGGCTGGGACCTAAGTGTCAGCATTTTCTGATAGTGCCTGGTATTTCTGATGCACCACAGCTGGAAACTATGAGAGCTGCAGGAACTATACAGAGAAGTTGAGGCTAGAAGAGTGGTTGCTGATTACAAAGAGGCCAGGGCGGCTGGGAAGAGTTAGTGCTTTGGGTCCTGGGATCATTTGGCCTCTTTGCCGTGTAACATGGTGTTGTTTTGTAAGCAATTTCTGGAATCTTCCATCCTGGGTCAGTTTATTTTTGATATTTACTAAAATATATCTTTCAAGGATTGTGGGAGAGAGGGAATATGTGTTCTTGTTCTAAGTACTATCAGATATAAAGTGTTCCTTTTTGTTGTTAAATTACTTTTAATATAAATTATCTGAGGAAGGGAGGACTGTTTGTTCCCTGAAGGAGTTGCTTCTGCCTCTTCAAGGCTGCTGCTAATGGAGTCTTTTTTCTCCCTTCTTCCTTACAATGGCACCCTCATTCATTTTGTTATCCCTGGTCCACTGTATGCATTCTTTTTCATTTTTTTCCTTATATCTCTTTTTTTTCTGATCACATCATCACCTTAGGAAATGCAAAGGCAAAAATAAAAAAAAAAAAAACAAAGTCAGAGGTTCAGAAGCGTATTTCTGCCGTAAGAAACTAGCCTTTTTCACATTTTGTGTTATTTATAAGTGTGCAGGAGTCCAGTTCAACAGTTATTTATTATGTGCCTTCTGTCTAACATCATGGGGCTAGTGAGTGCCTGGTATCCCAGTGTTGCCTTTGAAAGTCCCAAGTCCTGAGAAGCCCCTCAATCCCAGAAAACGCCAAAGACCTTTGAAAGTGTTTATTGAATAACTTGTGCATGTAGTCTGCCCCTTGTCCTCAAAGAGCTATGGTTTCGAGGAGCGTAAGAAAACAATATACGTAATACATCAGTTAAAATAAGAACATGAACAAAGGTTTCCTGGATCACCATATCCAGATGATTGTTACAGATGATAACTATAGGGCATCAGAAAAAAGGAGACAGCTATATGCATAATTAAAGTCCTAATGCTGTTTGCTTTCATAGTAATTACACTGTTTTCTAATTGACTATACTTAAGCCAGACCACTCCTGAACATGTCATTATATGGCTTTGGTAAGTTTATTTAAGATATGTACTTTTCACTTGGGGCAATGAAGTATAGATTCTTCTTTTCAGAATAATTCAAACCAACCTTGTAATTTTTTCATATTTTAGTTAGTTTGTGAATTGAATGGCCTAGATATAATCTGTTCCTAGGAACAAGTCATTCGACTTCCTTTTCCAACTTCATGCTTCAGATATTCTTCCTATATGATCTGGTTTGGAGTGGTAGGAATTTCTAGCTAGAAGACAGGAGGAGGGTGTCAAGGAATTGAGTTTTTGCTAGAATTTGAGGTCCCCACATTGACATCTGAGAGCTGTCAGAATACAGGAGTGCAGGGTTTTATGTATGTAATCTTAGTATGATTTTACTGTGAATCATATCACTAAGTGTGCTATCCAGTGACAGTTCATCAGCCCCTTAGATTTTCCTTTGCATGTTCCCTTCCACCAACTCAACATCCAACCCCTTCAATTTGTAGACAAGCTTCCTCTTTAGAGATGTCACAGGAATCTTTGTCATCCAAACCTTCTCCTACTAAACTAGATAAGTTGAAAATATGATCCCAAGAAAACATTGTAACCCATAGCTGTGTATATATGGATTTTGATTCTGTTTAGGTGGCTGTAAAATTCGGATTCAGGGGGACTGGACCAGAGAGCGCCGCTTTGAAATCCCTGATGAAGAACTCTGTTTGAAGTTCCTCTCAGAAGTCCTTGCTGCTCAGGAAGGTAACTCAAGACTGCAGTTTTCTTTCTACTATTTTGAATGGGAATGAAATTTGGCATTATGATCATTCACAAAGTACCCCACCCCTGAGTCTTGCTATCTGATGTTTTTTCCATCAAGAATGAACCCAGCAATTTGATTAGGGAACAAGTCTCTCCGGCTTAAAGGATACTGAACCAGTTTCCAGAATCTTCAGTTTGGGGCATGCACCGTTTACTGCCTTCTGCCCCCAGATTCTTGGTCTCTTCCTTTTCATTGCTCTTCCTTTATATTCAAGAACAGTGCCGGCCACTGCATTTAGGGAGTGCTAAGTGAATGGTTGTAGGTTATGGTCACTACCACTCATGGTTTCTCACCATGACCCTTATCTCTGCAGCTCAGTCACAACTTCTTGTTCCAGAACACAAGGAGTCATCCAGCTGGTACCAGAAATTAGACACTAAGGACAAACCTTCTGTTTTTCCAGGTACTGAAAAGATTATTTTTTTCCTGGTTTCCAGATTGTATCTGGACAGAGAAGATAATGTGGCTTGCTGTCATTGTCAGATACCCTCTCCTGTAGAGTTTTATCTCCAGTGGTTTTATTGAGACCATGACCACTGACTAATGTTCATTCCTGATCACTTCCATGGCCTGTTCATTAGGAGCCAGCTGAGTGTGAAGTACACACTACAGGGCTGGACTGCCTGGGTTTGAATCCCAGTTCTATGACTTACTAAATATAGGACCTTGATCAAGTTACTCGAGAACTCTGAGCTTCCATTTCTTTTTCTGTAACATGGGAACATATTTAATAGTACCTACTTTATAGGGTGTGACAATTAACTGAGAAAATGATAAAATCCCTGACTATCAAACAGATACTGTACTAAGTCAAACATGTCAGGTCTTATTATTCAAACTCCAAACTAATGTTACTTGCTATTGTTCCAATTAACATACCACTACTGTCCCCTAATTTTAGTTGTCACAGTGATGTGTTAAGACTTTTCTGTGTGGTAATGCCAAATAGTGATCACAACAAAACCACTGACTAAAACAAAGCTCTATCTATCCTGGATAAGTTGAATGTCATGTGTCCCCCCACCCCCCACACACCCACATACTTTGACGCTGGCTTCTGTGTCCTCTAGGACTTCTTGGATTTGAGGATAATTTTTCAACTATGAATTTGGATAAGAAAATAAATTCACAAAGTCAACCTATGGGGATTCATCGGGAACCCCCACCCCCACCCTCTTCTGCGAATAGAATGTAAGTCCTGTGTTGAAATAGATTTCCCATGCAGGAGACTTTTCTATTTTAAGCAATTTCACTTTTAAATCCCTCATTTATTTGCTAGGGTTCCACGTGAAAAAGAAGCTTCTAACAAGGAACCGCCCAAAGTGACCAACACGATGCGGAAATATTTTTCACCAAAATCACAGGACTCCCATCATCCCTCCTCTGGGGAGCGGGAGGGTCTCATCAAGCATATCCTGGCAAAGCGAGAGAAGGAATATGTCAACATTCAGGCCTTCAAGTTAGTCTTGCTTCTACTTACTGGGGCTACAATTTAGTTGGTATAGCAGAAAATGGCCTTTTGATATGTAAGGTATTACTTTAACTGAGAATCAAGGCATGATAAAAAAGGCATGGTTAGCTAATTCAAGCCTGTCTCTGTTAATCAATAACATACGTGTATATAATATAGCAAACACTGCCCTTTCCCTTAGATTTCCTAACTGCTAGTGATACCATATCTACTAATGTTTCTATTTACTCGTAGAGAACAAATCAAGCTAATATGTACAATAGAAGTGACCCCTAGCACATTCCATAAACAAGTATGTTCATCTGGTCCAGTGAATTTTTTTTCCTTCCAATATTGGAAAATTAAAGAACTATCACTAGTTTTGTTTTTTTTTAAGATTTATTTATGTATGCTTACAGAACTGGGGTATAGGCCAGAGGTGTAGTGGGTGAGAGGGTTCACCAGAGCAGAGCAGAGCAGAGCAGGCAGATCCACTGAAACACACTGCTGAGGGGAGCAGTGGGCAGGTCAGGAGAGGTCTGCCATGTCAGGTGGGTCAGCTCCCCAGCTGGGGATCGAACTCATGCTGCAGTGGCTTCTGAGAGCTTCTTAATGCGGTGCTATAACTCGTTGTGCCAGGGAGAGCCCATATCACTAGTTTTTAACTTACTTAGTTTGGTAAGTTAACTTAGTTTGGCGTACAGGCCAGAGGCTCAGGGGCAGTGAGAGGCTTCACCAGAGACAGAGTGGGGAGCAGAACAGGCAGATCGACAAAGCACACTGCTGAGGGGAGCAGTGGGCAGGTCAGGAGAGGTCTGCCGCGCCACGTGGACACCTCTGGGCAGGCGGGAATCGAACTCATGCGGAAGTGGCTTTAGCTTCTTAGTGCAGTGCTTTAACCCGCTGCACCACCACGGAGGGCGCCACCCATTCCTTTTTTTTGAGAGATCTGTCTTGGATTGTTCCTTATGAATTATTTTACAGAGTATCACCTTTACTTGTTGCTACTCTCTTTCTGTACCAAGTATATGTGATGCGGCATGGCATATTGCTCCAGTGTACAAGGCTACACTTTCCTTGTTATTTGTAAGCAGCATGTGCCCTTCTATCCAGGATTCCAGACCCACTGTGATCCCATTAGCCTTGTACATTCTAATCTCATCATAACTATATCTCAGTGCTGAAATCCCAGGTCCTCATATTTCCCATGATGCTTATATTTGTGTGTGAACAGTTAAGACAGGCAGGAGAGTCCTCCCATCTACATTTCCCCTTAATACTGTATCTGCCTCAACAGAATTTCCTACACAGGTGTCCTTCAGAAATGAGATTCAACTACAGTTCCTTCTGGCATAGTTTTCTGTATTAAATACACTTAGAGCATAAAGTCACCTCTTCCCAGCTTCAGGCTCTCCTTCAAGATCAGTTTGGATGGAATTTAATTGGAAAGAAATGTAGAGCAATTTTAACTTTGACTCCTTTTTGTAGGTTCACCTAACATAAAATGTAGAGGAAAATAAACCCACTTTCTTTGTGTTCTACATGCAAGAGTTTTTTTTTTTTTCTTAGGTGTGTGGAAAAACTTTTTGAGAAAATATGTGAACTTGCATAGAAGTGATGAGAGTACTTCCAATGGTTCATATTTAACAGTTTCTTTCCAATTTTTTTGGTGTTATATATTAGATTTTTTGTTGGAACTTGGAACGTGAATGGCCAGTCTCCTGATAGCGGGTTAGAACCTTGGCTGAACTGTGATCCAAATCCTCCTGATATCTACTGCATTGGGTAAAGAACTCATCTGGAATTTCCTTAGGCTATATATTCGGTGTTAGTTTGCAGACATTTTGCTTTTTTTTTTTTTTTTAGTGTTGTCAAAAGTTAATGCTCTATGGTCTGTAAACAACTTACTGTAGACTATAGAGAGAGTTAACTTGTGGGTCAAATTTGTGAGATTGGAAAGGAACAAATACCTCAGATGGTGTAAGGAAGCAGCTAGTCTTCTCAAAATCCATAGAAAACTACACTCTTCATGGAAACTGAGACCTAAAGCCAATTCTAACAGTGACAATTACTAGGATATATGAGTAAGCTCTCCTGTTATCGTTGGTGGACGCTTTTTGTTACATTTTACATAGCCTATGGATAAACTTAAGTGCTGGGAAGTCTTGAAAAGCAACCCATTTGTCTTCACTGATTATCTTGGTCAACAGAGTTCTATCCCAACCCTTTTATCATCTAATATATTAGAATATGGAACAGAAGATAGTCAAAGATGCTTATGGGATATTGATAGACCTCACATCCTCTTATGTTCTCAGATTTCAAGAGCTGGACTTGAGCACAGAAGCCTTTTTCTACTTTGAGTCTGTGAAGGAACAAGAATGGTCCACGGCTGTGGAGAAAGGTTTGCATTCCAAATTCAAGTATAAGAAAGTAAGCCTCATTTAATTACCTTCTTTAGTATATGACTAAATAAAACTCACTAGAAGTTACTCTGTTATCTATAACTTGTTCCAAAAGAATGGTTAACAGGCTCTCCCTGCTGGTGCAATGGGTTAAAGCGCAGCACTACAGCCGCTTCAGTGTGAGTTCAATCCCAGCCACCCCCTGCCCACCCCCCAGCTGATCCACACTGTGCAGCAGACCTCTCCTGTCTTGCCCACTGCTCCCGTTGGCAGTGTATTTCGTCCATCTGCCTGTTCTGCTCCCCACTCTGCCTCTGGTGAGTTCTCTCACCGCCCTGCACCTCTCTCCTGTACCCCAGTTCTATATGCATAAATAAATAAATCTTTAAAACAACAACAGAAGAGTGGTTAATAATTGGATTATTCTCCATGTATAATATTTGAATTGGACAGACTAATCCTTAATACCTGTTTCCTGGAACAAAATTTCCCTAAGGTTTCTAATCCTAGCTTCTCATTGCTTATGTAGCTTTTTTTTTTTTTAAAGATTTATTTATTTACTCATACAGAACTGGGGTACAGGCCAGAGATGCAGTGGGTGAGAGGATTCACCAGAGACAGAGCGGGGATCAGAACAGGCAGATCGACAAAGTCCACTGCTGAGGGGAGCAGCGGGCGGGTCAGGAGAGGTCTGCCACGCCATGTGGATCTCCTCCGGGGCAGGCGGGAATCGAACTCATGCGGAGTGGCTTAAGCTTCTCAGTGCTGTGCTTTAACCCGCTGCGCCACCAGGGAGGGCCCTGCTTATGTAGCTTTTAAGAGAAAAGAAGGAATTTCACTGTTCTTATAATACTACCTCAGAATAATTATATATAAGGTAACTGGTTTGTGCAATAAGAGTTTAAGGTTGAAATTGTTCATTGACATAGTCAGAGCCAAATGCTTTATAGAAAACCAGTCTGAAGCATGTGGTGGGTGTGCAGGGTACTTTTTAGAATGAGAGCAATAATAGAGGTGTTGTGCAATTTAGATGGTTCTAAACTTGGTTGTAAGTCAAGAGTGGAATTGACATTAGCAAGGTAGGCCAATTTGTTGGTCTTTCAAAGGCACATGGCAGAGGCAAACAGAGGAGTTAGTTTTAAAAAGAAGTCATCTGTCTGAGTAATCTTCATCTCCAGCTTATAAAGTTGATGCAGGCAATACAACTCCAGAAGAGGTAATTCCTCTCAATAAGTCCCTGACTAATTACATATCTATTCCAGACATATATCTGCCTGTAGGTCACAGGTTATGAAAGCAAAAAAAAAAAAAAAGCTACTTTATACATCTAAGTTTTTTTTTAATTGGAAATTAGAAATTGATACAAACTGAATAAGCTGGAATAGAGGCTTCATCTTTATTACCTGAATTTTTAATGCTGCCTCCTCCTGGTAGGTGAACAAGTAGATAAAATAATGACTCTAGAGCTAAAGGACTTGTCCCAGAAGACTTCATTCTTATTGGTTAGTGCCAGATTAGAGCTTTTCTAGAGAAATTTTGTTTCTTCTTATTTGGGGTCATTGGGAAATTAGCATATCTGGGTTCAGATGTGGGCATTGTTGTCTTCTTTTTTGAAAAATTAGTTGTGGAAAGATAGCTCTGTGCAAAGAGTGGTATCGACATAGGCCTTTTGTAATTTCTCTGGAACACAGGTTCAACTAGTCCGCCTTGTTGGGATGATGCTCCTGATATTTGTCAGGAAGGATCAGTTGCCATTTATCAGTGACGTTGTTACAGAAACAGTTGGGACTGGAATTATGGGGAAAATGGTGAGTTGCTTTGGAAATGAGCTGGGTTATTGTTTATGCCCCTGTGAAGTTAAATTGCTAGTTGCATTTTTGCACCAACTGAATAGTTACTCTTGCTAACAGGGAAACAAAGGTGGGGTGGCTGTGAGATTTGTGTTCCACAACACTAGCTTTTGCATCGTCAATTCCCACCTGGCTGCCCACGTCGAGGACTTTGAGAGAAGGAATCAAGATTATAAGGACATCTGTGCACGAATGAGTTTTGTGGTCCCAAGTCAGCCTGTCCAACAGCTGAACATCATGAAACATGAGTGAGTGTTTGTCTCCGTTAGCCGTTAAATGGCGGAGTTGAGGAGAGATTAAATGTGGTGAACACCATAGAGATGTAACGGACTACCGTTGAGGAATTGAGTCACAAAGGAGAGGGGGGTCTTTTGAGGAATAGCTGCCTCATTGAGGCAGAGCAGTTAGATTTGCTGTGCCATGACAGAAACTGTACACTGGATTTCAGGGACTTAGTAAGGAAAATAGCTCCGATTTTAATATTGATTACATGTTAAATAAGAACTTAGATACAGTCAGTTAAGTGAAAGTTATTATTGTTAAAGGTACTTTCAGCTGTTTCTTTTACTTTTTAAATGCCATTACTAGAAAATTTTAAATTATGTTTGTGACTTGCATTGTATTTCTTTTGAACACTGCTGTTCTGGACTTTTCTTTTTGTACATACAAATACACACATCCTTGCTATATAGACTATGTTTATTTATCGTGGATCATTTTCCAAGTCAGTATATGTAGATCTACATTGTTCTTTTTAATAGCTGTGAGTCATTAAGACTAGGGACAGTGGATATTGAAAGACACCGATGGATCGATACTATAATATAAGAGAAAGGTCAGTGAACAATGGGACTTAAGAAGGATAGAAGCAATCGGTAGAGGAATGGGGTGGGTAGTAGCAAATGATTAGTTGTAAGGAAATTAATACTGGTAATTGAAATTGTGAGAGGGTGGTGTGATTTAGAATAAGTGGTTTGAGATGGGAATTAGTAGGAAAACAAAAGATAATTTAGGGGTATTAGAATCAGTAAAGAGAAGGGTAATTGAGGAAAGAGTAGGGAAGGGAGTGATACTGGCCTCTTTCCATAGTGTATTAACAATTTGGATTATATGAGACTGTTTCACAGGGTAAAGTCAAGACACTGACATTAATGGTCACAGTTTCCCCTGAAGTTCCATAAATTTGTTTCCTTGGGATTCCAGAAATTTCATGTAGCATTTAAGATTGGTAAAGAGATCCACTTGAAACTTGAGACAGCTCACAGGAGAATCCCATTTTTTTGTGGTAATTTCAGGGTCTCCCCTGGCTGGGCTCTCAGCACATCTAGGGGCTTGTGCTGGGATTGGGAGCTGAGGATCCCATGACGTGCCATTCTCCCTCCTGCCTGGGACTTAGACTGTGGACCTGGGCAGGAGCAGACAGACGGCCACCATGGAGAGCCCTGGATCTACCCTGCCTAGTGGGCCCTGTGTGAGGGAGCGATCATTCAGACCATGCAGACCTCAGCGGAGAGCCTGCAGAACATCAGGGCTCAGAGAGGCAGAGCGCATTCAGATTCTCTTTCCCTAGAGACCTGGCAGGCAGCCAGGCAAAATCTTGAAGCTAGCCAGCAAATAAACTGCATGCTGCTCTCAGGCAGTTAACTCCTTGGCTCCTGCATCCCATCATGCCCGCTTTTCGCAGTCTTATTCTCCCGTGTGGACTGCCTAGCCTCCTGCATACTCATGATCCCAAGTCCCTCCCACGTGTTGATGGTTCTTGTGCCCAGAGGACAGTTAGTTTAAGCCCCTTGCTGGAGAGTGATACATGAATCCTTATCAATAATCTACCTGTGTTTCTTTCCTCCATGCTTCTCCGATTGATTTTTATGTTAATTGCTGCTACTTCTGTTCCTGTATTTGATCCTCAGTGTTGTCATCTGGCTGGGAGATTTGAATTATAGACTCTGCATACTTGATGCTAATGAAGTCAAGAGTCTTATTAAGAATGACCTTCAGAGACTCTTGAAATTTGACCAGGTAAGGAAACTTTCATTTGATAGGTACTGTCCTGCATAGCAGATAAGATTATTAGGCTTATGAAATAGATGCCGGGAGGTGTGGCTTACTCCAGGAATAGATGGGGAGGTCTTCTAGTCTTGGAATAACTGTGTGAGTGGTGACGTGAATACACACAGGGCTTGTAGTGCTTTCACTAAGTGCTTGAATGGGAGGAAGGGAGATATCACGAGTGATTCAAAAGTCGATGTAAAAAAAAAAAAAGTCGATGTAACATTTATTCCTTAAGTCTCTGTGAAGAAGAGATTTCAGACATTTGTGTAAGTGAAGGGAGGAGTGGGTGGAGTTAACTGGAGAACGCTTCCTGGAGGAGGTGCGCCTGCAGCACTGCTGACGTGGTTTGGCAGATGGAACACAGAAAGCTGCTTCTGTGGTTGCCTGGCAGGCTCGGCAACAGCTTTGGAGGTAGACGAGAGGAGGCCCCTGCGAGGGGGTTGCAAAGCACAGTGGAGGTTTCCTGTGATAAACCCCGTGGATGGTGGTCTGATGGGAATTGACTGGAAAGTCGGGGCTAGGTGTACACAGATGCTAAAACCTGTGGGAAACGCATTGATTCATAACACTTATATAACACCCGATAGTCAGGTGCCTAGTTTTCTGTAAATTGGAACCTGGCATCTGACTCGATTTTTTACTTCAGCATATGGGTACTGGCTGCTAAAAGTGAACACTTCTTTTGACTTGACTTTATATGTCTTTTAATCCTTAGATGAGCCTTTTTGATCTTGATTCAAAATTCAGGTGTTTTACAGTAGCATAAGTTTTGCAGCGAACCCTTTGTTGACTGTCTTCATGCACATGTGACAATTTCTTTGCATTTCTTCTATCCTGCCCCCAAAGATGATACAGTTGGAATAAATTCTGAATCGTAGGTAATTCTGATAAAAACCTTGGAGTGAAGATAATTTTCAAAATGATCTGTAACTTCACTGAATTTCACTTTTGGAATTCAGCACTCAACCTTTTTGCACCTTTTTAGAAATTAAAATTGTACTCGATGACTCCTGAAATGATTATTCAGTTTGCATTTTCCCATTTTCCCCTGACCATTATTAACCATAAAAAATCGGTGATGTGCTCATAATGAATATCCTACATGAAGGTGAAGTTAGATACTGATGGGATGATAAGGTTTAATTCATAAGGTGCAGGCATTTTATTTGTGCGCCCTGACAGTCGCAAATCTGTGAACTCGAGACTTAGAATGGCTGGTCAACCTGGTTACTACTTACACTAAGATGGCGTTACCCTGCTGACACGGTGCTGCTTTCTGTCTCTAGCTAAACATTCAGCGTACTCAGAAAAAAGCTTTTGTCGATTTTACTGAAGGGGAAATCAAGTTTATTCCCACTTACAAGTATGACTCTAAAACAGACCGATGGGATTCCAGGTACAGTAATAAGAACTTTCTTGTGAATTAGGTTAAGGCTTGATCGTCTTTCCTTTCTGCCATATTATTGATGAAGGGCTAGGAGTTTTTTAGATATAAAAACCTAGCAGCTCAATGCTATTATGGAAGAGGTAATCCTAATCTTAGAAATCCCCTTTATTTATTTATTCCATAACTATTCATTGAGCACTAGATCCTGTGCTAGAGGCTGAAAATTTATGGCAATCAAGTAGACACAGTACAAACCCTTCACAGAGCTTGCAGTACAATAGAGGAGATAATAGTTGGGGTCCTGAGGGAAGGAGAATCATATACCGGGGGGAGGGGAGCCTAACCCACATCAAAACCCTGTCGGCATTGTGTTCTTGTGTGGTGTGATCTCTGTATAATTTCTTGATTTGCAGTGGAAAATGCCGGGTTCCAGCCTGGTGTGACCGAATTCTTTGGAGAGGAACAAATGTTACCCAGCTTCATTACCGGAGTCACATGGAACTAAAAACCAGTGACCACAAGCCCGTTAGTGCCCTCTTTGATATTGGGGTAAGCCCGTGGTTGTTCATTCATTTGATTGTTGTTCTATTCTTAGAGCATTATTTAGACTCAAAGCAGATCAGTGAGCCATAAGTATTTCCATAACCAAATAATCATTTGCAGCATTGAAAAGTTAGTGCCCTCCACTCTCTCAGTGCTGTCTGTATGGCTCTTGACGCCTCAGGCCTTAAAGTGACATAGGTGTTTCCTGAGCTGCATAGTGGTTGTCTGGTAAGCTTAGCCTCCTGAAGTCTTTATACATAAAGAGGAGCTAGGTGCTAGTTTTTTAAAGGCTGAGTACTTTTTCATCAGATAGATAGTAAGGATGAGAAGGGCCAGGAGAGAGGTTCTAGGTTGGGGTGGTAACAGTAGGCACAAAGACACAGGCTGGCCATAGTATAACTGTCCGTTTGCTAAGGCCTGGCACGCCTGCTGCATGTGTGGTCTTCTGTGCAGGAGCACGGTTTTAAAGTGCTCTTTAGTTTTGTTGCATCCTGGGCTGAATTAACAGGTAATTACTTAATTTTTGTCTCTATCACGGGTAGGGTTTTATCCACATTGCATTTTCTAGTTGTGTGTTTTTAGCATGCAGATTGTACCTTGTAATCGTGTACAACTAGTACATTTCCATTACTTCTTACGGACTTTTCACCCTGCTAGCGTGCAGTCTGTCAGAATCGCTACAATGCAGTGCTTGATAGGACAGACTGGATAGCTGAACTGCGTAGGTTAGCACCAGCTCAGCCACTTTCTAACTGTTACCATGGAAAATGTGATCTGGCTGTGCCTCAGTTTCCCCCTCTATAAAATGGGAATAGTATAGGGTTAATGAGGTGAGACATGGGAAGAACAAAATAGGTTAGCTCCTTTTTTTCTTTTTTTTTTTTTTGGTGTCTCAGGTAGGATAAAACAATGACTTTGGAGCATTTCTTTCATATACCAAATAAGGTTTTGGGTCTTAGATGTTCAAGTTCATCAAGACAATCATGACAACTTCTGTCCATTTTACATTTTGTTTTTCATTTTGAAATTTTAAAATAAGAAAAATAGTGTTCACTCACTAATTACTAGTAACTATTACGTGCCCAGGACCAGGCTAGGCAGTTTACACACACCTCACACACTCCTCATAGCAGTGCTCTGTTTTCAATAGTCCTCATTTAACAGACAAACAAGTGGAGAATCGGTGAGTTTAAATAATTGAAAGCATTGAGACATGAACTTCATATCCCAAGTCTGTTCATCTCCTTTAGGCCCTTTCTACCACCACACAATGCCTCTATGCCTCGAACAAGGCGTGAGTTAAATATACCTTCAGATTATACTTCTTAGCCCATCTGATTTCGAGTTGGTACTTATGGACTATTCTTTTCTTCATTTGAGTTCTCTTTTAAAAAGAAAAGACTTATTTATTTATGCATACAAAACTCAGGTACAGGTCAGAGGTACAGGGGGTGAGAGGATTCACCAAAGACAGTAGGGAACAGAACAGACAGATGTACTGAAATCCACTGCTGAGGGGAGCAGTGGGCGAGTCAGGAGAGGTCTGCTGTGCCATGTGGGTCACCTCCCTGGCTGTGGATTGAACTTATGCCACAGTGGCTGCATTAGTTTCATAGTGCTGTGCTTTAACTGGGTGTGCCACCAGGGAGGGCCCCAGTTGAGTTCTCTTAATCCACTTTTAAAAGGATGTTTTCCCCAAACACTAGTAACCTTTTTGGTACAGTTAGCTATGCATGGCTTTTTTGTATTTCCTTTCAGAACCTTAGAATATTTGCAGTACACCATACCTATTAATCCAGAGCTCCCAGTAGGATAATTTAAGAATTTCCCACACTTCCTTTGTATTTTCATGTGTCTTTAATAAAGTTTTGCCTTTTTAAAATTACACAGGAATTCAGGATGTTTTATCTTTATAATAAATTTTAAGCTGAATTTACAAATAAGGCTGAAGTTCTTTAAAAACTTTCTGGCCCTCACTCTTACCCCTTTCCCCAGCCAGGCCAGCTACCTTAAGTCTTAATTTCTATCTTCCTGGACCAGGTGGGCATGTTCTAGATCTATTCTGATCAGTACTGGCATAGTAGCTGCCAGCAATAGGTAGCTATTGATCACTTGAAGTGTGGCTAGTGGAACTGAGAACTGAATTTTCAATTTTATTGAATTTGAAAAATTCAAATGTTTTTATGTGACAACTGGTTATTTTGTTCACCAGTGCAGTTCTAGGTCTTAGTGTATGCTCTTCTGTTTACCCATATACAATATATTGTTTACATATTGGTGTGTGTAGGTCATAAACGGTCCCTTACTGTATGTGTATACTTGGTCTGCAAGTTGCCTTTATTTTTTAAATTCAGCGGTGCATCTCAGAGAGCTTTCCATGGTATTACCTAAACATCTCAGTTTACTTTTTTTTTTAAGTTCCTAATTTTGTTGGTAATTTCCTTTTCTAAAAAGGATGTATCAGGTGATGACGTTATATGGTGTTCTTCCCCTCGATATATCAGAAAGGACTGTGATTGTGCTAGCCTACTGAGAAAAGCCTTGAATTTATTGAGTAACCACCCTATATTTTGGCCTCTTTGGCATGCTATGATCAGATGCTTTTAAACCCACATGATAGTTTCACCTCTAGTGGCATCAGTGACGATTAACAAAGGGAACAACTGCTCAGTGGCACATTAACTATAGAAGACTCGTGGCTGGCTGAGATTAAGCTGGAATAGGATTTCCACTCCTGCACTTGGTAATGGGACATGTTGCCTTGGCTTTAGGCTTTGGTGGGCATAGATTTGGCTGGAGGGTGTTTTAAATATAGATGCATAAACCCCACCATCAGCGATTATGATTGTTAGGCTGAGACATCTGTGTCTTTAAAAACTACCCAAGTTCATCCTGTTGCACACCTAATACTTTAGAAAGGGTCTTACAGTCAAAGCCCAGACGTCACTTCTGGTTTTAGCTGTGGCAATGAGCAACTTAGTTGATCTTTTTGTATCTTGATATTCTCGGCTATCAGAAGAATAAATGCTTGCAATGGTTGCCTCACAGGTTATTGTGAAAATCAGATGACGTCTAAAATCTTTTTAAAATAAAGAATTGCAAAATTTTGAAAAAGTATACAATTCTCTTGACTTAACACTGTACTATGACCCCCTGTAACACTAGTGATGGCTGACTCCTCGGGTCTGTAAGCAAATGCTTCTCCTATCTTGAGATGTTCGGCTCCACTTTGACATTCTTATCTTCCACATTTGTGGTAGAATCTTTCTGCATGTACATTAGTCTTTTTTTGTTTTTACATTGAACTTACAAAGTTTTCTATTCTAAAAAAGAAGACTGGTATCGGGCCCTCCCTGGTGGCGCAGCGGGTTAAAGCACAGCACTAAGAAGCTAAATACACATCAGCATGAGTTTGATCCCCGCCCCGGAGGTGACCCACATGGCGCGGCAGACCTCTCCTGACCTGCCCGCTGCTCCCCTCAGCAGTGTAATTTCGTTGATCTGCCTGTTCTGCTCTCCACTCTGTTTTTGGTGAAGCCTCTCACTGCCCCTGAACCTCTGACCTGTACTCCAGTTCTGTATGCACAAATAAATCTTAAAAAAAAAGAAGACTGGTATCTCAAGTAGTTAAAATGCTATGCTAATTATGTTCATTATGGCACTGATTTGCATTGATTTTTAATAGTTAAGTAAAAGCCAGCCCTATCAGTAGGCTGAAAGTGCCATGTCTGGCGGGACCTTTTCTGATCTACTAGTCCAGTTGATTTGTCTGTTTTTAATGCTTTTACTCTAGCTTAGGACATTTTGTGTAGGTGGTTTTTTTTTTCAATAAAGATTTATTTATCTATCCATACAGAACTGGAGTACAGGCCAGAGGTGCCAGGGGGTAAGAGGATTCACCAGAGACAGAGTGGGGAGCAGAACAGACAGATGGACTGAAATACACTGCTGGGAGGGAAGCAGTGGGAAGACAGGAGAGGTCTGCCACGCCATGTAGGTCAGTTCCCTGGCCAGGGATCGAACTTGTGCTGCAGTGGCTGCCGAGAGCTTCATAGTGCCGCGCTTTAACCCCTTGCACCACCAGGGAGGGCCCTGCAGTTTTCTAAAATGGCCATAAGGTTTCATTTACTAACATACCTTTATTATGCTATAATCTGGTCATTGATGTTATGATTCTTGGCGTTGTACATAGCAGCTAACAGAATTAAATGCTTGAATCATTTTTTGTCTGCTGAGTTTCACCACTTTGTCACCACTATTAGACACAGTAATAGGAATGTTTCTTTCCCATCCTTTTGGAGAGCATTTTTACCACAATTGTCATATTCTTTTCCACCACCAAATACAGATGGAACAAGAAAATATTCCTCCTTACCACAGAGGTTTAAGCTAACCAGTTTACCTTACCTTTACCTTAAAGTGTATGATTCTATAATGATTTATGTATGTTTTAGTGACCTTTTAAATATTGTTAGAGACTTTGAGAGATAGAGAACAACAGACTAAAGTAAGGATCTGTTTCCTTTCAGATATCAGAAAGTATAGAAGAACGTTGTTAGCATCACAGTGCATTTTAAATGATTGCTGTCATGATCAGTTTTAAATTGCTAGGCACTTGCAAAGAAAGATGAGTTAGGAGCATGTTAGAGTGAAAACGGGTTCATTTTCTTTCAGGTGAAAATTGTGGATGATCGGAGGTACCGCAAAGTGTTTGAAGATATTGTACGCATCATGGACAGAATGGAAAATGACTTCCTCCCTTCCTTGGAACTCAGCAGGAGGGAGGTGAGCAAAAGCACATGGCTGCCTATTGTGGTCAGCAAACAGCAAGCTGTTTTATGTGCAGAAGGCAATGCAGCAGCGTGGGAGAGGGACTGCCTCCACGCCAGTCCCAGCACTGCCATTTTAGTAGCTCTAAGACCACAGGCGAGTGTGTGACCCACTCAGCCACAGTTGCCTCTTAGATGAAGGGGTGTTGGGGATGATTGCACAAGTCAACACACGCAAAACTCTTATAACCGTGTCTGACATGTCATCAGCCTTCAGATGTTAGCTGCTCTTCAACATTTCAGAGTTGCTGGTCAGTCCACATCTCAGGACCCAGGACTTGTTCACGGGCCGAATACCCTGACCCGGGGTGGGGTTGTCCTCCTAGGATCCCAGGAACAATGAGAAATGAGAGTAGCCTAGAGAAGTAGCAGGAGCTGCCCCCGTGCAACTGCTGGTGTGAGTGTAACATGCAGGTGCAGATGGCGTGTAGCTGACTCGGTTGGTGAATGCACACAGCAGTTGCACACCTCGTCAGTGATTATCGTATTCATTATTCATATTCTCTATGGAATAATCCAACTGACTTGCTTCCCCTACTAGTGATGCATGTTTGTGTCTGTCTGTTATTCCCCAGTTTGTGTTTGAGAATGTGAAGTTTCGGCAACTGCAAAAGGAGAAGTTCCAGATCAGCAACAATGGACAGGTTCCCTGCCATTTTTCTTTCATCCCTAAACTTAATGACACCCAGTACTGCAAGCCATGGCTTCGGGCTGAACCTTACGAGGGCTGCTTGGAGCCAAGTGAGTGTTCCCTTTGCTGTTGTCTCTGCTCACCACGTGACGTCTCCTCTTGACTTCCATCCACTCCTTTCGTTTAACTTCTTGTTTTCTAACCACACGTCTCTTACCTTCACTGTCATATTGGGGATACCTCTTTTGTGTGTCCACTTTTTCCTCCATCACTTGATGATTTTGTAGAGGATGTTCCTGTTGGTTCTTGTCCCCTTTTCACTGTTCCACTGGAAGGTTCTCCTATCATGTGATGTCTCTTCCATTTCAGATGAGACAATGGACATTTCCCTCGATGTGTATGTCAGCAAAGATTCTGTGACTATCCTGAACTCCGGGGAAGATAAGATTGAAGATATTCTTGTCCTTCACCTGGACCGAGGCAAAGATTACTTCTTGACCATCAGTGGCAATTACCTGCCCAGTTGTTTCGGTACATCGTTGGAGGCTTTATGCCGAATGAAAAGACCAATCCGAGAAGTTCCCGTTACTAAACTCATAGACTTGGTAAGAGACACCCTAAGGCATGAGGTTCCTTTAGATGAAATTTTAGCAATACTTGACTATTGTGCTTTTGCTATGGTGTTAGTGGGGGTGGGGATGTGCCGTCAGTGACAAATAAGAATGACACTCCACTCTAGCTCTGCTTTGATGAGATTAAGCCTAATGGGGAAGTCGGGAGGGTAAATTTAGAATTAGCTCTTGACTGGAATATAGTATTACTGAATCCACTGAGTTCGATTAATGACTTCCTTCTAAAGGTATAATGCTTATTTGTTATACTCTTCTACTTTGAAAAGACTTGTGTATTAATTAGAATTTAGCTGAGGTACAGTGAATGGGAGAGGCAGTATTATCCTCATAAACATATGAGAAAACTGAGGCACAGAGACAACTTGCCCAGTGTAGACTAGGGTGGCAACAAGTCTGTCCCCCAGATTTTCTAGCTCCCAGTCCAGCACTCCTCACTAGACATCATCAGATCTAATCAAAGTCAAACTCAGTTGCTTTGCTGCAGCACAGACCTATCAGTGCACCTTGGTGTTCCCACCTCAGAAGCCCCAAGGGTCGTCACACAAGTACAGGCTCCTCTGCGCCTTGCCGTGGCATTGGAATCAGAATTTCAGACTGTAGCAGCATCCCAGTGATTGCAATGCACACTCACACTTGATGTATGTTTAATGTGACTCACTGAGGAAAGGAAGGGAAGGGAAGGAGAAGGAGAAGGAGAAGGAGAAGGAGAAGGAGAAGGAGAAGGAGAAGGAGAAGGACTTCCCCACCTCAGCCCCACACCAAGCTGCAACATTGGTGTCCTTCTAGGGGACCTGTTAACTGTCTTCCATGACCCAAATTGATTTTGTGTCTTATTAAGAACTTTTGGGTTTGCGTGCAGGCCTCTTTGGGCTATAAAAAACTTCCTCATCTCTTATCAAAGAAAATGAGGTGAGGTGATAGCTGTGACAACCATTTGCTCACGTCGAGCCTTTGGGCCTACCAGAGTGGTGACTGTGCCATCTAGCAGGGAGGGCTGGATCAGCGGGCAGGCTGCTGGCTTGCCTGAGGGTGATCTGTTCTGTTGCCATGGTATTGTTTTAGCTGTGACTCAGATGGCAGATTAAAACACTTGAGTCCAGTCCCAGCATTCTTTCTTGGAATTATGCTTGCTTCCCTAGAGCCCTGTTACTGAACATATTATTTCTCTTTGAGAGAGAACCATTTTCTTGAGAAATTCACATCCTAAACATTCTGTTATTTTTCATGACACTTGTTTTTTCACCTGCCAGTGTGTTCCTGTCCTTGACATTCAGTATTGTACCTTCCAGAATGTATTCTAAATGAAGCGGTTTTCCCTTTGTTTCTTTCCATCCCAACCACCATTTCCCAGCTTCTGCTTTCCCAGTGATGAGTTCACCATATCCTCAACTTGTCGGATTGTGTCGTCTTGGTAAACTTTTAAAATTTATTCCTTCATCTTCCCTCCTTTGACCTATCTCCTATCAGCAAGAGCCTAGTTTTATTTTTGGTCAGTTGGCCACACACTATAATATGCTTTACTCTAATTGGCCTGTATTAAAGTAATTAGAAGGAAGATTAACCGACATAAAAATCTTTTACTTAATGTACTATCAGGTAATTCAAGCATGTTTGACCATGAATAGGAATGCCTCAAAAATTTCAGTGCTATTAATGGCTCTGAGCAAGCCCTCTTTCTTCTTTTTGTGCACAAATGATTTAAGATTTAAAAAACTAGAGCCTGAATCATTTCCCATCACAAAATCCTGAGATCTGGTTAAATTGTATGTGTGTGCTCATCATTCTTTCAAAACTTATTTTGTTGGATTTAGAATTCTGGTTCTATTGCATTTCAGTGTTACATTCCTGTGTGTCGTTGATGAAATTATCCAGTTAGTGTGGGGCAGTAATCAAGAAATCTAAAATTATCTGTACCCCCATTCATCATACCTTCTCACCCTATTTTGATGTGATTTTGACCTTCTGAAATGCTTTTTTAGCTTTGTTTATTCCCAGATCCAAGATGATAGCTTAAACCCATGAGATGACGTTGTGAATAATGGTATCTGTTATCCTCAGTTGTGTTAATACTCTAAAATTTGGGGGAAACTAGAAATGAGTTCAGTGCCTACGTTGACTCTCCATATACTTTGTCCGAAAGAGTCTCGTCCCATACTGCCTTCCCGCCAAATGCGGAATGACGTCACTAGCCTAAGGCCTTTTCATTGTTCCCGTCCTCAGAGACAGTGAACTTGCCACTCCCAGAATAGCTGCACAAGTGACAGAGGAGAATCTGTAATTACCTTTATCCTTTTTCAGAATTCAGGTAGATTTTTTCTGAGCAGTTAACTACCATATTAAGTCACAGGTAATCATCAATGTTTATTACACATTGGATACAAAGTATTACGGAACTTAAGTGGGCTCCTGTAATTTAGTGATAATGAAAGTTTACTTGTATGGTTAGTAGGGAGTTTGGTTAGAAATAATCTAAACTTTAACCACTCTTACTATCTAATATCCAGTGTGTTTGGTAAGCCATATTTTGGAAAGTCATTGAGAGTGAAAATTATGGCGCTTATAATGTGTATTAACAATATTTTTTTTTCTGGTGCTAATTATTGAAGCCCTTATATGCTATTAAAGTATATTGATTGTCCAGCTAATCTCTGTAAAAATCAATGTCAGAATCAGCCTATGTTGGCTTTAATTAATATTTGATGCTTGTAACATTAACATGACCTGAAATATGCTCAGCACATAATAAAATGAACTGACAGTTATTTGGGGTTCATAGAAGTACTTTGAGTCAAATTCAAGTACTCGTGACACATGTATTAATATATTGGGTGAACAAGCTCTTCTAGACTTAAGTGCTATTAAAGGTTACAAAGGTGAAAACAAAAAGTCATGTATGAAAAATTATAAGATTTCCCTAGGAAGAACAAAGATTAAGCATTAGAATGTGTGACGCTAGTTAGGTAGGATGGGGATGGCGGACAGAGTCTCAGAATCAACTGAGGAATTGATATTGGAGACAGAAGGCATGGAGAATCATCAGGAGACTTGGATGAGCAGTATGAGGCTGTAAATTGATACATTTGGAGAGGCGATAAGGAGTAATGGACAGTAATGGTCAGGCTTGAACTTGCCAGATCTGATTAAAGGTTTTACTTGTAAGTGTACATATGAGAAAAGTTGAGGAATGGATGGACAAACTGCATTTACTCGGGCACATGTCTACTAGGGGAATATCAAAAATTGGAAATAACGAGAATAACAACTTGGCATTTAATGCTCCCCAGTGCTGTTTTCTTTACCTGTTAGGTATAGTTGATTTTTTTCGCTTTATATTCACAAGAACTCATCCTTTTTAGCCCTTCAGTATCTGTGGAGCTTTTTTTGCTTTATATTTTTAAATTTGAATCTGTTTCTAAATGAATTTTAATCTTCAGGTGCATTTGCTACTGGGAAACTTCTAAGTGTAAATGTTGGGGTGAAGAAAGATTTGCATAGCATTTATTGTGCGCAGCTGCACCTGCTGAGCAAATCTGAGCTAGGTTCCCTTTTGAAAAAGGGACCGATGCCCAGTCTTTTGTTGAGAGTGGGCAGGTCAGTTTATTAGCAGTAACCTTAGTATTTCCTTAGGAGATGCTGTTTATTAGCGGAGGGCTAAGTGGTGTTTCTATTTTCAAAGTTAAGCCTGGTGCTGAAATAAATGTAATTTGCATCTATTAACCTTATGCTTGTAGCCAAAGAAATAAACTCTCTAAGTCTGTTGCCCCTCGAGCAATAGCAAGTCAAAGGCCTGATTGTTCTTTCAGATTCGTCTTCTGTGTCCATTTAAAAAAAAATGTCGTTTTCCCACTATCGAAGTCTCCTCTCTTCTGCTTGTCCAACCTTGATAGCTTTGAACGATGCTCTTTGCCTCTATGTCTACCTGTCCATTTTTCCTCTTCAGGGCTGTCAGACTGGTCTTTAATACATGTCGAGGCATTTCATGTCCTTGCTCAAAGGTAGTCAGTGGCTCCCCCAGATTTAGTCCCCACAATTTTCCCTCTGCCATGCCCCCCCAAAAGCAGATGACTCTCGTTTCCCTAGCTCCTTCCACCTCATAGTTTACCTTCTCTGCACCTTTGTCTACTTCTGCCCCTTCCATGTGTTGTGTCCCCTCCCCACGCCTCCCTTAAGACCCCAGGCCACCTTTAAGGGTTAGCTGGGTCACCTCTTCCTTGTGAAAAGTCCGCTGACAGCCCCAGCTGAAAGCCCTATCTCCTTTTGAACCCCATCTTGTTTTTGTTTACTTCCACCATTTATTGCTAACTTACAATCATGATAAATTATGATTCCTCACCCCAGTTCAGCTGCAAACCCGAGTCAGGGACCATTTCTTTCTCCTTTATGAGTCCTGTCTCCTTCCCTGCTCCCCAGAGGTATTCAGCACAATGTCCTGTAGTGGTGGGTGGTCCCTATTTAAAGAATTCTTTTTTGAGGACCTGGTTTGACAGTAGTATATAAAAATTACTAGTTTCACTCATCCTATCATGTGGCCTGGTAGGCATGGTAGGGAAAATAGAGAAGTCTGTCACATAGCCCGGGTCTCTGTTTGTTAATAAGTAGTCTAAGTTTTAAAAAGGTTGCACTCTAAAATTGTGGTAAATGAAATGTTGATACTCCCAACTAAACTTCATTAAAAATACTGTGAATACAGTTCTAGAAATATTGTGTACTTTATAAAGCACTGTTACTCTGATGATTCTTATGTCATCTTATGTGTGGCATTTGAAAGTCTAGGTCAACCCCCAAAAACATGTTTAATTCATAATGTATCTAATATTACTAAGAAGCCTCACCTTATGTAACTGACGTGGGGTTGGGGGGATGTGAGCGAATACATACTCCCTGGCACCTCACTAACAGTGAAATCAGAATTTCTCCTTTTACTATCAGACCCAAGAAGGATGATGTGTCCTTATGCTCTTGGACTTATTGTGAACCCATGGTGGGGTTGGGAAGCTTCCAGTTGGGAGTTGCTGAGGCGGTGTGAGGAGCTTGTGAGGGAGCCAGGCCTTTTGCTGGCATCCTCCGCCACCCATGCCACCCACCCTGGGTTTTAGGCTGCTTCCCTGCTTCTCTGAGGGAATTACTGCCCCTGTGGTAGAAATGACAAGATTGAAGTAACGCTTACCAATTTGCCTGAGGTCTGCAAAAAATTAATGAGACAGACCGAAGATTTGTACTGGGTACCACTGATGCCTGTACTCTTTGCATTAACCCCACGGCCTTACTACTGGAGTTTCTGGCTGGTTTCAACTAGTTGTACTCACAGCTTCCCCTGTCTCTGTCCGGAAAGCAGGCAGATTGTCTTTTTATGAGTGATGTAAGGAACCATAGAAAACAGCTGTAGAGTCAGTCAGACCTGAATTGCAATCCTGATTCTGCCTCCTTGGGCAAATAATCTAAACGCTCAGAGCCTCGGTTTCCTCATCTGTGAAATGGGAATAACACCTGCTTGGCAGACTAAGCGACACTGCTGTGAGCAGTTGGCACAGTTTCCCCACTTCACGGCAGGGCAGGCTGGCCCTACTTATTGCTGCCGTCATTGTTACTGGCTTGTAACAATAGCATGAGACAGAGACTGTTAAAAAAAGGTACTTTTCCCCCTCTCCCCGGTGCTTTTTTTTCTTTTACACCCTGTAGGAAAACACAGTAGGGGATGCCATGGTTCTTCTGACCCATGGTGGCCTAAAATGACACTCACTGACATTGCAGAGGGGCCTCCAAATAGGAGGACTTCCAGGGGCTTCTGAAAATGGGAGTGGGCATGGTGAGACAGAAGGAACAAGAGGCCGGCAAGGGTAAGAGGGTTGGCAGTCAGCAGGAGAGGAGCTTGCCACCTCCTGCCACATGTGAGGCTCACAGCCACAGTTCTCCATGGAGGTGGCACCAGAGTGAGAGAGAAGCCAACGAGCGGCAGCAGAGCCTGCCTCTGGGCAGCATGTGCAAAGACACTAGTGGGCATTTGGCCAGGTCAGGCAGCAGCTGCCTTAGGGCACAAGAGTCTAGGACTGCTCATTTCTCTTTCTTGAGTGCTAGTCTCGACAAACTGCACAACATCCAGTGTGCACAATAGAAATTTTGCATGCGACTGCATTCCTATTTTGAATAATCATGGTTTCTTTGAAGAAGTTAAAGCTGTTTAAGCATTTGTGTCTGCTCAGCCATTGAGTTCAAATAATAGTGATCTGTTTCTGATTCTGTAAATTAATTCTAATCATTTTCTATCTATCAATGACTTTCTTTCCCTGCTCTGCTCTCAGGAAGAAGACAGCTTCCTAGAAAAGGTAATGAAATGCATTGGTGGCTATGAGTTTCCCGGTGCTTGATTAACACTTAACTGTAGTCCCTGGAATTTCTCCTTTTGTTTCCTATATCGGAGACCTCTAGCTCCAAGAGAGAATTCCCCGGTGTCTTGCCAGGAAAGATACTGACTGCACTTGTCAAGTCAAGGAGACCCCTTATATAAAAGGAGCATGACTCAAGGTTCCGGATCTGTGTACTGCCAGCTGTGCTTAAGTGTGTCTGAGGCACAGGATAGAGACTGCATTCCCGAAGTCATTGAGATGCAGTACATACAAGCACTAGGACGCGAGGTTCCAGACCTGTGTTTCTGGAATAAAGTCATTCAAGAGCGGTGTTGATGTATCGGGAAAGCTCATGAGGCGGAGGAAGGTGCTGCGTAGCTATCGCCCGTTTCCAATGAGAGTAGAAGCAGAAGTGGATTTCTATTGCATTGAGAGTGAAGTGGGAGTTAGTGATTAATTACTGAAATAATGCCAAATGTGGTCAAGAAACAGCACAGAATAGAATCGGAACAAGATCGTACTGAATGAGATTTTAAGGATCATCTGTTCCAGCTCTCTGCTGCCTGACAGGGTATGATATTTTCTCCATTTTGAGAAACAAGACAGCAAAGCCCAGGAAGGTGGGAAAAGGAATCTAGAACTGGGACTCCTGAATGGCTAGTGAAGGAACCCAGTGAACACGCTCCTGTGGTGGCGTCTCAACACCTGTCCGTCCTCCTTCCACCTGGAGAATGCCCGCTGCACACTGGGGGAGCTGTCAGGTAGAGAAACATGGGCTTGAGAAACATCCTGCAAGTGCGTTCACACAGTGGCTCACATGACCTCCCCATCTGGCGGGGTTCACTACATTCTGGTGGGGGTGGGGAGCTGCCGTACTGTTGCGCTTTAGAGAGTGTGTCCTTCCGAGGCACCGACTATACCTTGTTGAAAGAAGACAAGCCGTGCCTGCTTCCCCTTGGATATTAGAGTAAGTTGTAGGCTTTGTCATAAGTATTGTTTCTGGTGCGTGATCTTCCTCTAGACTTCAAAGACACAAGTAGGACATTTTGTATTATCATCACATGTGAAGTTGAAAATGGATACTGGATGATGTCTATAACCTGCTGACATTGTATTAACCTTTTTAAACCTCTAAGGATTGAGGTGGCTCTGTTTCCCAGCACGTCCCTGTTAATTGCAGGCTGTGTTCTGTCTTTTCATCTTAGTGCCTTTGTGTGGCCTTCATGCCTTAGTCAAGGAAAAGCACCAATTGGATGTCAGATTTTTTTTTAAGTACATGAATCAGTGCTGAATAATTTATATATGGTAAGTTTCAAGGCATCCACTGAAGAATCTGTACATGTGTTAATGCAGAGTTCATTATGGACAGTGTTTTGGCTCTGAGTACATCTAGATGCCTGGATTTGATATTTGCACCCAGAAAGAAGCTAGTGGATAAGTAACTGACAGTCCTGGCAACTCCACGGCCATTAGGTGATAGAATCCCAGGGATAGAAAGAAAGGAAGCCAAGCAAATCTAAAGAAAACAGACTTTTAAATGGTTAACCAACCATCGTGCTCCCTTCTCTTCTGCATTCCCTTACAAAGGCAGAGAGACTATAAAAGGTCACTCGAGCTCATTGAAGAACATAATGTTAAAAAGGGCTCTCCTGAGCTCTGATGCGGAATGTCTGGATATAGTGAGATGTTTCTCTTCTTTCCCTTAAAGTGACATGGCTGGGGAGTGTGGATGGAATTCATGCAGTTTCCTAAAGCTAGACATACATAGTACAGAAAACTGAGCTGGAGATGGAAGGGTTATATTTTCTCCACTGATACATTTCCGGGGGCTATCTCAGGTGCCCTGAACCTGTTCTAGACATGTTTTTGATATACTTTAAACTTGACTATGTAAACATAAGAAAAATGCATTCATTCCTCAGCTATTTTCAAGTTCAAATCAAGTGACTGTGTCACTTCTGGATTTTTCTCTGAGTCTTTTAGGGGACTCGAACAGAAAATGGAAAGATAGGTGAATGGAATCCAAGCCCCTTGAAAGCTTTGATAAGCTACTAATACAATGAATAATTTTAGGACTCACATTCTCAATCTTTCTAGTATTTCTGGTACTTGGCATGCCATCTGCTGTTTACTATTTTTAGATCTTGAGGTTTATGAGTTTTAGTAACTTAAGATGAGAACTTGTATCAAGTCTGAAGGTGCTCATGAATGTAGGTCTAACGTGGAGTACTGTCTCTTACTTTAAGGGCCAACAAATCTCATCTCAATCAATGTTAGAGCTGTAGTTTTTGTAAGACCTGAAAGACGAGTAGGTTAAAACTCAACGAAAGCCTAACTGTAGGTGCTCGTCTCTGAAAGTGCTGTATCGACAATCATAATTGGCCCCGCTGGTGTGTGGAGTCTACCGTGACTGGAGCACTGATTCCCTGTCACCCTTGAAAGGATTTACAGCACACAATACAAGCGCGAGATAAACATGATAAACCCACATGAAATGCTTGACGGTTCAGTGAAGCGTCCAGAAAAGGAGATCCTTTCAACTGTGGAAATCAGTATCTAGTGCCTTCTGACCAAAAGTGCCCCCGGGACAAAAAATGAAAAATCTTAAAGTATGACGCTCTAACGATACCCACCTAAGAATCTAAAGACAATTAAGTTACACACAGGTGTAAACCTAGACCTCCAAGTCATATACACAACCAACCAGTGTTGTAAGCCAGCAACAAATAAAAAAACTGTATTTTTTAAGTTTTTATTCTGAGACCCATTTGACTCATCCCTCTTCATCTTTTAGGAGAAATCCCTTCTGCAGATGGTTCCCTTGGATGAAGGTGCCAATGAGAGACCCCTGCAGGTCCCAAAGGAGATCTGGCTTCTGGTGGATCATTTATTCAGATATGCCTGTCACCAGGTAAGGGGAAGTGGGCCACCTCTAAACCTTTGAGGGGTGTGTGAGTCCAGTGAGAAATGACAATACTTCATATCAGTATAGTGCTTTTAACTTTCCCAAGCTACCGCCGCTTGGCAACACTGTCAGGAGGCCCGGGCAGGTGGAAGTACCCATCCCTACTGGCAGACCTGGGAGCTGAAGCTTCCAGGCTAAGTGATTTGCCTAAGACCACAGCGTGACCACAGGCAGGGCCCCGTGTGGGCACACCTGGCCACCTCCAACTTCCCCTGCGACCTGCATCTAACGCCTGCTTTAACTGTAGCTGTCACGTGGGCATTGCAGATGAGAGTCCAAAGCCCGTTTCTCGAACCCAGTGCTCATTTTCTCTTAATCCTGTCTAATCTTCTAGCTACCCCCACCCACTCCTCCCGAAAACAGAGCTTCTTGGGACCAAATTGAAGGATAATGTTTTCTTATCTACTAAGGAGCAGTATCATTTGAAAGCAGGACATGCCATTAACTCTTGCCCTAGCATCCTCCAATATGTGAATGCAATTCTCCTGGCTGGATTGCTGCCTTCTACTTGGCAAAGGGGCTCGGAGTAGGAACGCCCAGCATCCCGAGCTGACCTCTGTTCCCCTACTGTAACAGGGATAGGTTAGAATGTTTGATGTGAATTGTCTGATGTGAATTAAAATTCTGCATAGCTTATGGAGGTGATCAAGGAAAAGAGGTGCCATTTTCACACCTCCATGCCTAGCCACAAATACGCCCGCTGTCCCCTGCGCGTCTTGCTGCCCTCCGTATCCTTGGGTGGTGTCCACAACCTTCGGGCTCATTCATGCCGTGTTCCCCTCTTTGTAACCTCTCCGGTAGGAGGACCTATTCCAAACCCCTGGAATGCAAGAGGAGTTGCAGCAGATCATTGACTGTCTGGACACCAGCATTCCTGAGACAATCCGTATCTTTTGCAACAAATCCTAAGGAAGCTGGATGATACTTGGCCAAATTTTTCCCACTTACTTTTGATTTTTGTGTTTTCACCCTTAGTCTCTTCATAAATGTCTTTGGTTGAATAGCACTCGTTGACTGCACACTTGTTTCTCAGGAACTTTAACCTCTTTGTGCCAGACTTTACTAAAAGAAACTCAGGGGAGGGTCACAGGACTGTCACAGGCATGGGACCAGGGCCGCAGCTCGGGCGCTGGTGCTTCAGGCAGGGGGCCGCCCTGCCGCCCTGCGTACTCACTAGAACAAGGACAGGCCGCTCTGGCACCTGCTTTCAAGGACTGCGCCTGTGTGAAATGTCATTCTGCAGGTCCTCTCCACCAGCTCTCTAACTCGGCCACAGTGTATCTAGACCCACGGCATAGCAAAATCCAGTCAGGATCAGTGCCCCAGTGGAAGGACAGAGGGGGGCGGGAGCAAGTTGCCTGCCTGGCCTTTTCCCCGGAGTCCCTTTCCCTTGACTGTAGCGTCCCCAGCTGGCAGCAATCACTCTGTGGCTGAAGCGCTGCTCATTTTCCTGGAAGCCCTGCCGGAGCCCGTCATCTGTTACGAGCTGTACCAACGATGCCTTGACTCCTCTCAGGACCCCCGGGTCTGCCGACAGGTGAGTGTCACTCTGAGAAGGTGTTTGGGACAGGTCCCCTATAGATAAATTGTCATTTTCCAAAGCCATAGGCAGCCAGCCACGGCTACATGTTTTACTCACGGCAGGACAGCAGCCTTGTGAGTTAGGGTCCTTGAATTTGAGGTGGTGGCACTCCCTGTTATGTCTGCTACTGTGTTTCTGGAAACCAGGAAGGCAGACTCCTCTGCTCTGAGGTAAGATTGGTGAAGCCGATTGTATGTGGGATTCTCCCTGACAATACCAGGAAGGCCATGTGATGCTGGGGGTTTTTTCTTTTTGTCATGTTGGTTATTTGTTTTTAAACCCGAAATAATTTGCTCTGCCCTAACTGAGACTACCTGACTCAGGCTACCTGCTACTGGCAGGGAGGTCCAGCCGCGCTGAGTGACATGGCAGAAAAAGCCATTCTGCTGGGCAGAAGCCCTGGCTGGAGGTTACTACCAGCCTGCTTGGCGAGGGGGTGTGCTCATGCGTGTATGTGTGTGTAGTGGCCACACAGGCTGGCCACTGGTGGGCGGGGCTGGACAGTGCACCACTCCGACTTCCAAGTTGTCATTTGGCAGGTGTTTGCAGGTCAGGCATAAGTGAAGAGGTTGCCACAGACGAATGGGGTCCTGTGAGGGCCGGTTCCGCACTGCTTCCCGAGCAGCGGGAGGTCTTACTCCCTTCTCGCTGCGTACTACCCTCCCCATTTCTAATGCACAGGTGATTTCCCAGCTTCCAAGGTGCCACAGGAACGTTTTTCGTTACTTGATGGCATTTCTTCGAGAACTCTTAAAATTCTCAGAATACAACAACGTCAGCGCCAACATGATCGGTAAGAGCGCCCCCTAGGAGCGGGCCTGGGGTGTTGCTGGGGACAGTTTGGGCTCCGTGCTCCTGGTGTGCACCTTCCCTAGCGGCCAGGCTCAGGGCAGTCACCAATGCCCTCATCCCGGGCGCTGCCCTCATCCCCGGGCGCTGCCCTCATCCCCGGGCGCTGCCCTCATCCCGGGCGCTGTCCTCATCCCTGGGTGCCCCAGCCCCAGCCCTTTGGCTTTTTTTAGGTTGTGTCTGACCAGGGACTTCCCTTCTCTCCCTTGCCTCCGCTAGCTACTCTCTTCACTAGTCTTCTCCTAAGGCCTCCACCCAACCTGATGGCAAAACAGACTCCAAGTGACCGCCAGCGTGCGATTCAGTTCCTGCTGGGCTTTCTGCTTGCAAGCGATGAAGACTAAGCATTTGCCTCTTACTACTCCCCGCGATTCCAGAGGCAGAAGGTCCTGGGCACCCAGTATTTCACAGTGATTCGAAAACTCATGCCACAGGAGGAGCCTGTTGCAGAACTTCATCAAGGCTGTTGGCATGAAAAAGCTGTTCCTAGCGCAAAAGGAAGCGAGTTCCTTCACCCTCCTTTACCTTCTCCTCCACAGCAAAATACTTCTAGACTTACGTTGCCAAGCCAAAGTTACCAGATTTTGGTGTTTTCGTGTTTTCTCTTTACAAAGCAAAGAGGTTTGTATTTCTACTCCTTTACCTGCACATGTGTTTGCTGCCCTCCTGCCCAGCAGTCAGATTCTCCTCTGCACCCCAGGCCTAGATTCTGAGATGTTCCCATTGTAGGCCTAAAGCACTGCTCACTATAGCTCAGACACGTCTGCGGTCCTTCGTCGAAAGCACTTTTGCCCCCAGCTGCGCTCTACCCCGCCAGTACCATCACGTCGAAGGAAGTCTGGGTAAGGCCCGTGCCCTGGGGTGCCCCCGGAAGCGAGCCTTTATATGCGGTTGTCAACTGCCTTTGGGCTACTCCAGGGGCATCTGTATGTTTCTAAAATTGGCCTTTCGTGGCTCTGCACTGGGTGGACATGTATCCGCCACAGACGGTCTCTGCTACCCTGTCTGCTAGCAGAGCCTTGGGGATGATACACATGGCGCCCCACTGCTGGGAAAGTCAAAATCAGAGTGGAAGCACATTGAGTATTTCAGAAGTGAGAATATTCACGTTTCACAAGTCTTGCTTCCCACATCCCTTTCTGTTCTTATTCAGAATTGTCATGAGAGCTTAGCATGGATGTGTTTGGGGCCCACCCCCCACTTAGCAACAAGGCTCCTGTGCAATGCTTGTACCACTGTGGAAAAGCCTGCCTGTACCTCCAGGCGGCCTCTCCAGAGATGTGGCTTCTCCCCCGGTGAGGGCACGGAGGATGACCCTTAGAGCCCCTCTCTGGTCTCCTGAAGGATCAGGGGCAGATGCCACCGTGCTCGCTCCCAAGGCTCCCAGTCACCTCATGGGTGATGAGGTGTGGAAGACAGACCAAGCAGTGGGCCAAGCAAGCACCTTTCTTACCCCCATGAGCACCCTATGAGCCCTTCATTTACTCAAGCTCTGGGGGCAGTCTTTTTTTTTTTTTTTTTTGATGAATCTAAGTTGGTTGGCAAAGCAGCACCCAGCTGCTGACTGCAAAACCGTTGGATGCAGTTTGCTTCCTCCTGGTTTTCTTCAACCAAAACTACACTGAGTTTACTAATTCTCTCCTGTTAACATTCACTCTGAGGAGCCGAACAGGCTCTGTCTGGCCTCACGTATTGAGTCCCGACTCTCCTGGCACCTCTGAGGAGAGGCCGACAGTACCACCGCTGCGGGCTCTCCAGGGGCTCCTTTTGTTACGCCTCCTGGAAGTTGAGTTCTTTGGGGAAAGAAGAGGTATGTGTCCGGGGGTCCATGATTAAAGCCTTTCCTAAGTGGGAGGTATGGACCTGGGAATCAGGTTATTGGTGCCAAATAGCTGCAGAGCTGATCGGTCAGGGGATGGGTGTTGAACTCAGTTACTGGAAGACTACAAAGCAAACGCTTTCGCCACCTCCACTAGAGATGTCCTCTCGAGGCAGGAAGTGGCACCGCAAGGTGGTGTGGATGCCATGGGGAGGGCACAGTGCACAGACGGGGAAGGCCTCCCTGGGCGCACTTTCTAGTGTATTGCCAGCCTGGGGCTCTGGGTGACCAAGGATGTGGCTAGCGGAGCTGTGTGCGGCATGTCAGCTGTTTGCTCACGAGTCCATGCACTAAGTTGGCTAACTGCCTCAACTTCTTTGCCAGCTCTGGCCCTAAGATGTACAGAGTCGAGGGTTTTAGACAATCTCTAAGTAGGGAAACGACTAGAGCAGACCTGAGAAATCTGCTTCCCTCCTGTGCCTCCTCCAGCACTGCAGCCTCTTAACTGCGAAGCACCTTTAATGCACTGCTCATACCTCCTCTCGTGGAGGGAGTTCACGTCCAGCCAGTAGGGAAGGGCTCTGCATCTGTTGTCTTAGGAAAGAGATGGTTCACACCCACGTGGTGACGTCACAGTCGTCTCCCTTTCACTGATTTCTGATTCATACTCTGTAGTTGTTCTATTTCCCCCAAAATGTCCCAGTCACTAAGCAAAGCTGCTAGTGGGATTCTGTATTCTGTGTCATCTTTTTTATTATAATTTATTGCAATTTTTTCTGAATAAATAATATGTTGTGTGAAAAATCAAAGTGTGATCTTCGCGAGAAAGAACGTGAGGAGGGAGGCCTATGTCGCTGGGCCCCACTGACCACTGCAGTCCCCACAGCTCTGCCTGTCCGCTCACTTCCTGTCTCACGCGGAAATACCATTTGTGAGAATTCACAATATGTTTACCAGCTCTGGTCTTAAGATGTACAGAGTTGAAGGTTTTAGATAATCTCTTAAGTAGGAGAAACCAAACAGAGCAGATATAAGAAATCTGCTTACCTCCTGAAGCAGATTCAAATAAGAAGCAGCCACGAATTCTGAGAGATGAAGTCCATGCTTTCAGAGGCCAGCCAAGGATCTGTATTTTAACCCCAAGGATTCAGGCAAACAACTGGCAAGAGAAAGGACGTTGATTGTTAATGTGAGCAAATATCAACTGGGTCAGATAGCTCTGGCCCCTTACGTCTGATAAGCCTCCAACACTCATATTCCGAGAACCCAGCTGTCCTTGCAAATAGTCTCAGGAGTTTAGACCTGTCCTCCCTACTCCTGCCCACCCAAAGAGCCTGTTTTCACATCATTCATTTGGTAACTTTTGAAACCCAGTTTTACTAACTCTTGAGATGATGAAGTCCATAGAATTAATAACTACATTGCAGGGGAGGAGGAAGCTCTAATCTGACCTCTAACACTTTGAGAGGAAACCCCTAGCTTGAGCATGAATCCATTATTCCCTCGCTGATCTCTGCTGTGAAATTGCGCATTCTGGTTCCTTCCCCTTTGGGACTGAGGAGGCCTCAGCTGGAGGTTTCATCTCAACCAGGGCCCCCTTCCAGGCCCCTCCAACTATGAGCTTGACCCTGATGAATGTGCTGATTCAGTGTTGTCATGAACAGTTTTTCCCATCCCCACCCACCGCCTTGGCAGGAGAATGTGTTCTCTGCTGAGAGCAAACCCCCCCAGTGAGGGACTGACCCCAGCAGTTTTGTACACAGCAGTAGTGGGGCAGCGCAGCCTCAGTGGCCCATTTCCAGAAGAGAAACTGCTGCAGGAGAGTCACGAGGGCCTTTGTGAGCACAGCACGTTAAAGATCAGCTCTTGGTGTAGCCTAATCTAAAAGCACACACTCACTCTGCAGCGCGGTCTTGAGTGTTAGGGAGACGGCCATAGTGGTCATCCTGTCCAGCCTCCTTGGACAAAGTCACGGCGACAGGGGACTTAAGATCACTTAGGGATAATGTGACTAGTGGAAAGAAGAGCTTATGGTTTACAGGCAGAATGGGTCTCTTTTCCAGCGTTTTGTTCAATTTTTCAAGTAGTCAGCAAAGTCAAAAAGGATGCAGTGAACAGCCCTTAACCCGTATTCCCCAACGCTTCACCTATCGCCACGTTTTGTCTTGTCACAGAAAGGCCTGGTTTTCAGTCTCTCTCTGCCACTCACTCCTTGTCTAGCCTCCGGTGGTTTGGTCTGTACAATGGAATGAGCGTAATACCTATCGGATAGGGCTTCACTACCTCAACCTCACTTCCCAGTCAAAAACTCAAGTGTCTTTCTAGTGCTTTTAGAAAAAAATCCAAATTCCCACAGGCACCAGGCCCATCTGATCTAGTGAGGAGGAAATGAACCGGCAAGTACAGGCTGCTACACCGCAGATTCATGAGCAACGTCATTTTGTTCCGCATCGTTTTGTTATAGCAACAAGAAAAAAAAAAAAGATTCCTGGCTGAAGTTGAATGAAATGCCATTATTCCAAGGCCTCGTTTTATTATACTTCTCATGGCTTCAAGTCCCAATTTCCAAGAACCTGCCAATGGTGTTGCTGGAGGATGTACTGTGGAGATGCTGGTCTATCCCCAGCTGCGGCCCGCTCGCCCCACATTCACTGATACCAGACTTGCCAGCCTCGGGTCCCCTTAGCCACTAAGAACACACTTTTGAAGAGAAGGAAAGTTGTGTCACTTCTTTGTAACAATTCAACGTCTGAGAGAGTACCATCCGCTTTCTAGCAGAGCATAGGGGTGTAACTAGAAGGACGCGGATGTGAAAGAGGGGAGCACGTTAGGGTCGGCATGTGCATTCATGTAAGTGTCTGGTGACTTGCTACCAGCTCGTTTTCGTCACCGTCTCGTGGTCAGCCATTCTTACATGGTCTTGGCTTTGTTCTGAAATTTCTCTGCCGAAGGCCTTTGCCCCCGCGATGCAAGGGAAAAAGCAAGATGTTAGTTAAACATACAAATCAGGGCTTGGTAAATTCCCAGGAGCAGAGAGGACTTCTCTCGGCGGCAGGAAGATGGCTGAAGCATGACTGCCATGCTGCCCAAGACTTTGGGGCTCATTTGCTGTGGTGACCTGGCAGCCAGGTCAAATCAGCCCCCCTGCTCAGCGTGCGTCACCTCTCACCTTCCCCCACCCCTACACACACCACCTTGCACACTTCTATCTTTGTCAGTTGCAGAGTTTCAGGGCAAATTTTTCTGAGAAGAGGGGGTGAGGGTTCAAGTCCTACCTTTGCCCTTTCTGTATGGCTGATCTTGGACAGATGTTAGTTTTCCTCTTCGGAACTCACTTTCCAGATCTTAAAATGAAAGTAGTAATAGTATTTTTCCTTCTAGGACCATCACACGGATGAAGTCAGCTAATACATTGAAAGGGCTAAGGTTCTTGCCCGGTACATAAATGCTAAATACATAGGAGCTAATACATTATCCCCAAGCTTCCACTGGCCCAGGGCCCTGCCTCCCATTTGCAGCAGGTGACTGACTGCACCCTTGACTTGGGGAAAAGGTCGAACTCATCAGTGAAAGTGGCTTCCTTCTCATATCAGCCATTCATTCAACAAGCACTGAGGGTTTCCTGTGTGCCTGGTGCTGTTCAAGGTGCTGGAGATAAGAGAGGAGAATAAGATGAGGCTGATGTAGGGTGCTTCCCTCAGCATGGGGGCAGGGTGGGGTAAACAGACTAAGATAAAGCGCATACCATGACTGCATCAGGCCACAACTGGATCTGAATGGCTTAAGGCCTGAGCCATGTTCCAGGGAACAGGCAGCAAGATGGCCAGTGAAGGTTTCTGTGAGGAGATGTTTAAGCTCAGGCCCAAATCCACAGCTACATTTAAAAAGCCAGCCATGCAGCATCTGGCAGAGAACATTCCTACCAAAGAAAAGATCAAATGCAAAGGTCCTAAGCAGTAAAGCAGCTGGGCAGCTGTAGAAGTTCAGGCACAGCTTGTTAGGACAGACAGACGCTAGACTGCTTCGGTCAGTACCGAGCTCAACCACTTTCTATCTGTAACCATGGAAAATGTGCCAGTGACGACAGAGTTGGGGGAGGGGAGTGCTGGTCAGGTTGTGGGAGGGGTGAGGTGAAGAGTTTGCCTTTGTTTGATACAGCAGGAAGTCATGGGTGACTGCACAGGATCTGAGACCTCCCTCTCCGGTCCTTCTCCTCAGCTTAGTAACAATAACCAGGAACTCTAGCCATCGCTTACCTCAGGTGCTGTATTCATACACTAACATTCCGCTTAGCCATGACAAAATGCCTGTAAGGATTTCTTTACACACTTTCATAGATGGGGAAAAAATGAGACTCATGGAGGCTGCCAAATGGGGTACCTGACCAGAGCAGATCAGAATATGACCCCAGACCACAATCCGCAGTCTTCAGCACAGCCACCGTCTCCATTGCTGGAGCGGACCTGAAGGTGAGAATGCTTCTGACTCATCCTCTCTTCCAGCATCATCTCAGGATTTCAAGCCAGTTGTGGAAACTGCTAGCAGCTCAAACTCAACCTGCCTTCGGCCCTGGCCAGCTTCCTCTCTCCCGTCAGCCAGCTGTGAACCCTTAATTATGTTTGGTCTCTGTCCCACTTCTAATCAGTCACCAATTGCAATTCAACACGTATTTATCAAGAACCTGCAATGTGTGGGCC